CAAGTGGTGGCAGTTCCTCTGGCTGCTCCTTCTGAGCTCCCCAGGCCTTTCTTCCTGTTGGAAGACAGAGCTGTGTTGTGCCACATGGCTTGTATTGCACCCCTAAGAGTCTACTGTGTCAGGTTTGGTGGCAGACTCTGTTCAGTTACTAGTAATGAAATAAGATTGCCACTTGCTAGTCTATTCAGCTTCTGCCCAAACATTCCTGGTTTGCTTTCTCTGTGGGGCAGGTGAGAGCAACAAGCCATCTGAACTGGGATTGTTTCTCCCGAACAAATCACGATCACTAGCCAATGTGAAATCATATTTTGTTGCTGACTTACTGATCACGATTTGTTAGGGAGAACAAAACACGATCAAGGTTTGGACACCATGACAACCCAAAGCTTCATGGCTAACTGAAGAAGAGCAATTGGACACTGTGAGCTGGCTTGGCTTATCTTCATGTGATAGTGGAGTTAATGTCAGATGGGTTTAAGCATCTAGTCATGTCACCTTCTCTGTGGTGGGACCTAGAGGTCATTCAACCTGAAGATGATATCACACCAAAGCATATCTTTGAGAACTTTATTGTTGTGACCTCATCTTAAAGATAACTTTCTCTTGATAAAGTCAAAAGTTTAGATAACGGATATATAGATAATTTAATAATAGAACACTTATCATGCCATGGATCCAGCAAATCTGAAAATCTGCCACTTCCTCTAAGCCCTACTGCAGTCCTTCAGATCAACCAAGAGCGGCAGGTTAGCATACCAGGTTAGCACAGGGAGAAAGAGGGTGGCTGTTCCACAGCTGTGAAACTCTCGTCCCTTTTATGGGCACCACAACCTTTAGAAATATTGTCAAAATATTCAAGGCTGCAACTGTGGATGGCACCTTAAGAATAATCAGGTTATTTGCAGGTTACTTGCAAGCAGGTTATTTGCAACATTATCAGCCTATTTACACGTGAAAGAGCTTCTAGAAGAAGAAGAAGAAGAGTTTGGATTTGATATCCCGCTTTATCACTACCCAAAGGAGTCTCAAAGCGGCTAACATTCTCCTTTCCCTTCCTCCCCCACAAACACTCTGTGAGGTGCGTGGGGCTGAGAGACTTCAGAGAAGTGTGACTACCCCAAGGTCACCTAGCAGCTGCATGTGGAGGAGTGGAGACGCGAACCCGGTTCACCAGATTACGAGTCTACCGCTCTTAACCACTACACCACACTGGCTCTATGTGGACTTAGGGCTCCCAGTCTCTTCATGCAGCATCGACTTCCTCATTCACTTCTGTGGCCAAGGCAGCTCCATCATACACATGTTCCGTTGTTCATACAATTGTTCATGCAATGTAAGTGGCAGAGTTAGCAAATGGAGCTCTGCGTGACTGTTTGCCATTACCCATCATTATCCACCTTTAGGACTGAGTGGATTGAAGTTTAGTTCTGAATGCCTACCTGGAACCCTAAATGTTTGCAATGCAACACAAGTGTTGCGCTGATGCACTGATAGCTTTGCCCCAACAACCCCATGTTCAGTTTGCCAGTGCAGCAAATCTTACATCTGCTTCTCACGTGATGCTTTGTTCTCAGTTCCTAATCTCAGAATTTCTTACTTATTATTGTCAGTTTTAAAAGGTGTGCACTCTCGTATAAATTTCCCCTTTAAAATGAATGAATAATGAAGTTACTGGGAAAGAAATGAAGCAGGCTATGAGCAGGTCATTGTGAACACAACTCACCTCCCCCCTATTTTTCTTTCATACTAAAGGTACTTTATTCCGCTGAAATTTTGTAAGCAATATACAGGCTGCTTTTGGACATACTCCATAAAGAGGTATTTGAAAGGACACTTTGCCCAGTGGGGCTGGTAGGGGGAAGTAATGAGATGTTGATTTACTAGTAGTGAATAGGTTACTCTAGAACATGAAATTATTTATTTACTATGGGAATTCAAAACTGGAGGATTCTCAAGACCCCAGGAGCTGCCAAATTTGACTATTGGGCTATATTTGGCTTGGGGGGGGTCACACATTGTTAGAGGACTTACTTAAATGAGATTTTGCCACAGGCTGAATGATACGCAGGTGATTGCGCATTGTGAACACACCATTTAAACGATATTTCTCCATTGCAAGAGTGTGATGTATCACACCTCAGTTTTATGCATCCAGGCACCCATCTAGTTCTTGGTAACACACAATAACATCAAACCACTGAAATGAAAGCTCTTCTCATTCTTGGCTTGGAAACTCTCGGCAGGACCATTGTCAATGAATTGCATAGTACAGCCCCTTCCATTACAGTTAAGGACCTAGCTTGACAATCTTCTCCCTACGACTTCAGTGGCACTTAAGCTTTTTAAGGACTAACGTATCAAGGAAGAGCTCTTCAGCCTGAATTAGGGATCCCTGAATGATTGGGGGCAGGGGGTGGCAGCTGTCCTGCCATAATTTCATCAGTTTCAGTGTGCAGACTGGGTCAGTGGATGATGAATATGTTATATTGATCACAAGGCCAAATGTACTAAGAAGCTGGTACTACCTATTGCACTTTGCACCTACCTTTTGGCAGGTTCCTCGTACGTTTTGTGAACCTGGTCTCCATCCTTCACATAACAACTCTGAGGAAATTGTATCAAGACAAGAGAGTTTACTGCCCGAGACTCCTCATGAGGTAGGGATTGACTTCTCATTTTCCTACAGTTCAGGAAACCCTGCAATATATCTGATTGAGGACCTATTTCCACGTTCCATCCATGGGTGAACTGCATTACACATGTGTAAAAGAAGGTGCACCTGTTATCAACACTATTATTTTGCCTTCTTGAGGCACTTTCCAATTATTTTACTTCAAGTTTGGTTGGATGGTCATTGTCCAACATACTGTTGCTTAATATTTTATCTTATTTTAATATTGTATTACAGATTTTAAATTTTTTATGTATGCCACACTGAAATCCATAAAACTGTGGTGTCTGTTTGTCTATCTATCTGTTTATCTATAGGTGTGTGTTCTATATTCTAGAGTTACTGGCAGTCATGGAATTACTACTATAGATATATAGACACACACACACACATGCAGATATAAAATATTATCTTGACTTTCAGATATAAAGAACCGTGCCCATCAGTTTACATCCTAGATTACTGTTCATAATGAATAGCAACCACTGTACAGAGAAAGTAGTTTAGTGCCAAATACAGTTCTGCAGCTTCAGAGTGTTTGAGAAACATGTGAAATTTTATTGCCTTGCAAATTGAAATGCATTGCAATGGCAGTGAAGCTAGTATCCACCAAGAAGGAGTCTGCATAAATCACTGTGTGCTTGGCTTGAAGCCAGGCTGATTACTCTTCTTGCCTTCCTAACCCCTGCATTCCTGCACATAATGAATCAGGGCATTCGGGAAGGATAGAAAAGGTCACAGATATCTTCAGATAATCGTTTTTTCTAAGGGATCAGAGGAACTCATCTTTAATCTCTTAGGCTCTCGTCCCAGTCCTTGTCTAGTTATTAGAATCTTGCGATAAGCCTGTGCTTGCAGCAAATGACATTTGTTAAAGAGAAGCTGTAAAGGAAACACACAAAGGCAGTACACACAGATTGCATCCAGCCTTTCTGAAACAAGGAAATGCCCTGCATTCATCAAAAGGGAATGCTGATTGCACTCCAGTGTGAAAGTTGCAGAAGAAGAGACAGGGGAGATCAGTGTTTAGTGTTTGTGGAGAGACAAATAAATGCCCTGATTGACTTAAACTATAATTCCTTTTTACGTGATCAAAGGCCCAGGTAGGCTGAAGTGGTGGAAAGTGTGTGGGTTCACTGCTCCCATGGGCGTAGCCAGGATTTTTGTGTGTGGGGGGGTGACCTTTGGGGGGCATAACCTCAGTTAGCTATGCATTTATTTTTTATTGATTTAGGGGGAGCAGCTGCCCCTCCCTGACCCCCCTTGGCTATGCCCATTCCTCCAACCCTACTCTCAGCCTCCGTGTGTTGATCAGCACTGTGTCCACATACATGACATATGTGTACACAGAGCCAATACATGGAGATCAGGAATAGCAACAGGCAGCACAATCCTGTTCCTACTCTATATGTTCAGGCTTTGTGGACCTTACCATTTGGAAAGGACTATAGTTGTTTGGAAATTTGCAAGTCTGAAGCAAGTTCAGGGATGAATTTTCTAAATGGGAGGTTCTGTTGCTCGAGTTTTCCTGGACGTAATGCCTTCTGACTTAGAATCACAGAATTGTGGAGTTGGAAGGGTCATGTAATCTAACCCCCTGCAATGCAGGAATCTCAGCTAAAGCATCCATGATAGATGGTCATTCAACCTCTGCTTAAAAACAACCGAGGAAGGAGAGTCCACAACCTCCTCAGACATACTGAACTGCTCTTACTGTCAAAAAGTTTTTCCTGATGTTTAGTCGGAATCTCCTTTTTGGTAACTTGAAACCATTGATTCTATTCCTACCCTCCAGAGCCGGGGGAAACAAGCTTGCTCCATCTTCCCTTAAGATGTTTAGGGGCTGCGTTGCTGTTTGAAGAGCCATGTACCATGTAATGGGTATGAGTTACTCGTGCGTAAACTGCCGCCTCTCTAGGCTAAATTGCCTTGTTAAACCGTTCTGACTGCACAGCCCATCTCAACGTGGCTGCCTCAGTCGCTAGCAGAATCTGTCAGTGGGCGTTTCTTAAACCTCTTCCAGCATAAAAGCTGTTTGACTCCCAGTCTCCTCCTCCTCTCACTGCGCGGGAGTCTTCTGCGCAGGGAGGGCGTGGGTAGTGGAGGACCTGTGCTCTCCTCACTGATGTCCAGTGAAGAGTCCTGGAGCTCTCTCTCCGCTTCCCCCATCTGCCCCCCATTATCCCTGGTGTTGCGCTGATTACCTTCCCCCTCTACTGAGCTGCTTCTCCCCCTGGTACTGGGTCCTTCGCCAGCATCATCTGGGAGCCTCCCCTTCGCCTCTCGCTCTGATGTCAGTTCCCTGACATACCATTTCCCTCCTTTCTAGATCTCTGTGTACCTGTGTTTTGAACCCCAATGATAACTCTACTGAAATTGAGACGCTGGAGTTGTTTAACAAAAGGTATCAGGTAAGGAAACTTAATAATCTCCCCTTTCGTCACATTTAGAAACAGGTTGCCAGACCCAACTCCTCAAGTAATAGTTGCAAGCAAGCATCAAATAGATGAAACTTTCATAATGGGTTACCTCTTACGCACACTTCATTCTTACCTCATGGCCACAGCATTTTCCGCCCCCCGTCACTGTCCAGGCAATTGGAGCGACATCAGTGACAGTATGGAGGACGGGCGGGTAACACCAACTGCTCCTGCCCCATAGGCAATGGTAGTGCAAATACTCAAACCTGGGCCAATCGTTGTTGTTTTACCTACTCTGTATAACCTTTTTGACAGCAGGTTATATAGAAAAATCTAAGGGAGGTAGAAGAGCAGCAGCAGGTAAATGACCTTCATAAAGTTCTGCTAGGTGGAAGTTTCTGAGTTCTGAATTATTTATCCATGCAGTGACATTTGCTGAATAAATTTATACCTGAATTTTATGTCGCATTCTCCCCCCCTTCTTTTTCAGTGGAAACTAGATGAGGCATGCTTGCCTGGCCAATTTTAATATTTTAAAAATGTCACTTTTCCTTTCCTCACCTCACTTTAGTGTTTCCCTGCAGTACTGGGCATGTATTCACAGAGGTTTGTGGTAGCAACTGAGGGAAGTTGGTTACTTGGCAATGAATGAGACTTATCAGTTGCACTACAACAGAAAACAGCAGCACCAAGACATAAGAAAGGATCAAGCATTTAATGTCTCGCGTCAGTTTCCACTGACCATGTGGAATCGTAACTAAGGCCTATAGAATATTGACCATGTTGGTATATTTCAGCAGGATCCTTCTCAATTTTTGGTTTGTAAGCTTTTCTGGGTGGACACTTTCCCCAGTTACTGACCCCATAGTCTCTGCTGAGCATCCGTCCCTGATGTGTCACATGTTCCTTCCAATCAGCCTCTGCTGGAGAAAGGAAGTCTATTGCCTCTTTATCAGGTCTTTCACGACACAACAGAACTAACTTTAGAAGGTTAATCCAACATATTTAGTCACAGGCCATGTTCTAACGCCATCTTATTGCCATATTTTGCCATGTTGTCTTGGTGCTTACCACAGTCTTCCTAAGCCTTAAGCCTAGGATGCCCAGAATACAAAATCTCTGGTATAATATTGAAAAGAATTATATGTCACCTTCTCTACTAAATACTGCGGAAAGGACAAATAGACTTGAAAAGACAGAGGAGCTGCTGTGTGCTCAAATAAGTATTAGGTGACCTGGTTAGAGGCAAATGAAGATTAAGCAAAGGATTCAGGAAGGACATGTGTTTGGAGGCTTTGAAATGTGGTTTAGTAGGACAGTGAACAAAGGCAGTGTGGAGGGGGGAAGGGGAGCTGCAGGAGAATAGAAAATGGATTGGAACAGTCTGCAATTAAGAAAAAGGAATCTTTTTTACCAAGGATTTCAATGGGAGAACTCTGATACCATAAGAGAGAGCTGCTATAGTGCAGCAGCTGAGAGTGTGAAGCCTGAGGAAATCTGTATAGGAAATCTGTAATTAGATCTTCCACCTTGGTTATTAGCTAAAAGTCACCTATGGTGGGCTGGCTCCCGCCCCCCAGAGCATCCACATCCGTTCTCTCTCTCTCTCTCTCTCTCTCTCTCTCTCTCTGTCTTCCTGCTGCTCTTGGGAGGGGGACTATTGTAATATGCTGATTTTTCTTTGGGGTGGGGGTATCTTTCTGCAAACACTGGCATCTCCCTAAGTCCGAAGAACTGAGTTCACTAGCAAAGTATATATACACTAAGAGTTCCCCATCCCCATGCCCTAGACAATATGCTTGCATCCTGCGTTGGCTATATCTCATTTTAAAACCCGTGTCTTTGTCACACACTAGTCTGTGTATTGGGCTTACATCTCAATAAAGCCCTGAGTGATGGTAGGAGCTAGTTCTACTGCCTTCTGTGATGTTCCTCCCTGTTGCTCTGCATCTAAAAAGAAGCCAGGCACTACTTCTGGAGAATAAACAAGCAAGCTGTTATGTACTGAGTTGAATAGGATCCAAAATACAGCAGTCTGATTGGTCCTAGATCAATAGGATTCAGAATGCAGCAGTCTGATTGGTCCTAGAACAATAGGATTCAGAATGCAGCAGTCTGATTGGTCCACAGGAGCCACCCAATCCAGCTCCAGGTGGAAGTGAATCAGCGACCTGATTGGCCTACCAGAGAATCCTGGAATTAGCCAATCACGTAGGGCCCATTGTGTAAATAATGTATATAAAGCAGTCATTCTGAGGGAACTTCCATTCCTCCTCACCACTATGAGCTGAATAAAGAGCATGAAATCCACTCTTGACTCTGAGTATATTTCACAAGCACTGCTCAGAGAGGCTCAGAAGGAGGCTCTCTCCAATGGTGGTTTTAGCAGCTGCCAGAATGTTGGCTGCTGTAGCCACCCAGAGTTTTAGCACCACATGGAGGCTCAGTGCACTAAACCTTTTCTCTACCCAGTATTTCTTCATTGAGGTGTCTGGCTTCCATTTCTGGTTTAGCAGCCCTACTGTGGTGCAATGATTGTGGGTTTTGCTTTGCTAGGAGGGAATTCATGGCTTAGTCGAGAGTGGAAGGTATGACGTGAAGGAAGATTTCACAGTGGTTGTGCAACCGTTTTTTGAAGAAGTGAGAATGCCGGAGACTCCGGTAAAGTACAAAATTGCATGTATACATGTGTTTTGCTTTAAACTGTTAATTTACTGTCCACGTTCCCAACATTTATAGCTCATTTAAATAGGAATAAGTTGTCATGGTACATATTTCCACATGACTACGTGTCATAGGAACCTTTCGCCACATAACATTGGTCTGTGAACAGCTTGTATTCACACTAACTTGGTGAATTTGCGTGCACACACACACACTCCTGTGTGAAATGGGGAGGGGTTTGGACAAGACCAAGTTAATGGTCTCAGGATGCCTACAAATGTTCTCTAACAGAGGCACATCCTTTGTTGATGAAAGTACTGGATGTCCCAATAAAACTGTTTTGGAGGAGATGATTCATTCTGATTTCCCACTCTAGTCAGGGCAAGGGAGCCAGCTAGCTAGGTGTGAGTAAAGAACAGTGGACTGCCATTTGAGTAAAAGACTAAGAAAGGATCAGAGACAAAACAGAGACAGAAAGCTGAATTCAGAGCCATAAGATAATAGCATTTTCAGGTACCTGCTGCCTCTCTCTGCCCATTGGATGTGGAAACTTTGGCTTTCCATTGCAGTGTTTAAGCTGCTTTCTTCCAAAGGAAAAACAAACCTGGATAAGTGCTGCACCGCTAGAACGTATCTGGAAAATGGAGTGAGGGTAACAATATATTCCTGGGTATGGGCAATCATTGTTCTTGTCACACATATTGCCTCCAGTCTCAGATGCTGCGATGGAATAATAATAATAATAATAATAATAATAATAATAATAATAATTATTATTATTATTATTATTATTATTATTATACCCTGCCCATCTGCCCATATTAAAATACAATGATTCAGCAAATATTAAAAGCTATATAGTACAGTGGTACCTCGGGTTACAAACACTTCAGGTTACAGACTCCGCTAACCCCGAAGTAGTACCTCAGGTTAAGAACTTTGTCCCAGGATGAGAACAGAAATCCTGTGGCGGTGGCACGGCGGCAGCAGGAGGCCCCATTAGCTAAAGCGGTACCTCAGGTTAAGAATGGTTTCAGGTTAAGAATGGACCTCCAGAATGAATTAAGTTCGTAACCAGAGGTACCACTGTATATAGAGAACAACAGTGGGATGATGCAGCTATTATTCAAACTATAATCCGTGTGAATGGCCACTGGGCTTCTCTAAGCTTTACACAGAATTATGTCACAGACCATGTCACTTGCATATCTTTGCCATTTGGTCCCACTGTTTATTTTCTTCGTGCATCATGGGCTCTGATCACCAAAAGCTTAACCCACCACAAATGTTAGTCTTTGAGGTACTACAAGGCTCTTCATTTCCCCCACCTGCCTGTCACCTTCTGAAAGCCCCATGATAAAGTGGTTGTCTCTTTCTTTAGGAAGGGTTGCCCGATTCCTCCTATTTTGCCCCAGATTGCTTCCACTTCAGCCAGAAGGGTCATTCCCAAGGTGCTCGGGCTCTGTGGAATAACATGGTAAGAAAAATCTCTCTCAATGCAATCATCAGACCTCTAAAATCTTCCAGTGAATGTGATTTGCACCAAAAGAACACTCCAAGAATTGCATCATCTTGGCTCAACTTCAATGATTTTTTAAAAATATTTATTAAGTTTCCATTTTCTCAAATTTAAACAAATCCTTATTATACTCATTACATATTTGTCTCATGGCTTCCATAATTCATTATTACTTCATAGCATTTATACATTTTCCCATTTACTTTTCATTTCTTCCATTAATCACAAATTTTTAAATACAGTAAATATAAAAAGGTACAAACATTGCAAGTTTTCTTACAACAACCCTACTAGTGTTGTTAGTTGTTTACAATTGTCCTTCAAATATTGTGCTGAACTTCAATGATTCTCCTGGCAGGTTAGGGCTAATTGAATTGTTCTCTGTGGTAGATGTTTTTACTCATGGGAACTAGCTCTGTAAACTCCTGAAATGTGCTTAAAGAAGCTGATTGGATTGGGTTCTCAAACTTTGTTCTCTGAGCCACATTTTCAGAATAATTTTTTTATCGTGCAGCACCACTTTTTTTTATTGCAAAGAAATACATTGGAAAACACAACTAGGGTTGTCCTCCATATCACTTGAGGCTCTTGCTATCATTTTGAAAGGATACCATTTGAGAACCACTGGGCTAGAATATAGGCAAAAATCTTGCAAATATGGCGTTGGTTCTACCACTTGTATTCACTCAATTACTTCTAAACCAAAAGATCAGGTTTGCTTGAGTTTTTATTTCCTCATTCTCGACTGTAGTCCAGTCACACATTCCCAAAGAGAACCAAGTTACTTCATAATAATCCAAATGCATGTGGGGAAAAGGCGCTATTCTCACCTGGCAGAGAAGCAGACACCTAGGCCTCATCCGTACTATACATTTAAAGCAGCATTATACCACTTTAAACAGCCATGGCTTCCCCCAAAGAAACCCGGGAACTTTATTTTTTGTTAAGGCTGCCAAGAGTTGTTAGAAGACCCTTGTTGCCCTCACAGAGCAATAATTCTCAGGACGGTTTAACAGCCAATCAGCCTTCCTTCCTTCCTTCCTCATTTTATTTGTATGCTGCCTTTCCATACTTAAAACCATGCTCAAGGCAGCTTACAACTTGGAGGGGGGAAATTACATACCGTAACTGCAAGGAACTCTGAAAATTGTAACTGTGTGAAGGGTAGGGGGTCTCCTCATATCTTTCAGCACCTGTGACAAACTACATTTCCGAGGATTCTTTGCGGGCAGCAGTAAGCTGCAGGGGTTTAATATGGTATAATACTGCTTGAAATAAATGGTGCAGGTTGAGCCTTAGAAACAAATCTGCTCTATGACTATAAATGTGTTTTAATTTGATGAACGAGCAAACTGACCTGCAGGAGACATGGCCTGTGTGTGTGTGTGTTGACTCTTTGCCAAAGTCCTGTCTATTGCATTCTTCTCTCCCTTGTAATTTGCATCTTTTGCATCCTAAAGCGAAAGATGCAGCAGGATCAAAGGGTGTTTTAGTTCAGAAGGCAATGTAACGATGAATCTGCAATTATGCATCGGCTTCTTCCTTCCCCCGAAGGTTATGCAGCTTATAGTGACTGACTCCCCCCTCCCTGCCTGTTTTATTCCTCATCCCACGCTGACTCTTCTTCTTCTTTGATACAGCTAGAGCCCCTTGGGGAGAAGTCAAAACTGCAAGCGCTTGAAATGATGATAACCCTCAAATGTCCAGATCAGGTAAAGCGAATCTTCTCAGGAATATTTAACACTGTTGCTCTTATTAACTAGCTGGTGCCCAGCATCATTTGATAGGTGTGTTTTTCCTTCCTTGCTTCCTCTGTCTGTTGAAGAGACAAACTAGCATCGCCGCCATCTTGTTTCTACTCTGGGGCCTATGAACTGCAGAAATTCACAAAGTGGGAAGGAAGCACACCAGGCAGCTAGTTCTCTGGTGGAGCACATGCAGCAGTGGCTTAATTCACACAAACAGAAGGATGCTGTCACAAACTGATGGAGTTGGGAAGGGGACGTTCTAGTTTTGATGGAGGAAGAGCATTTGCTGTTTTCCAGACAGGCCTGAACAGCAGAGGTTGGTCCATTTTTGAGGGTGCACTGCCCCACCAACCTCAGCCTAGCCTCAGCCAATCCCCACCTTCCTGCCTTCTTATGTACATTGGTTTATTTATTTATAAAAATATTTATATGCTGCTGTATATACACAGCAGTTTACAGCAATATAAAACTTCCTCCACTGTAGCAGCTTCATAGACATAGCTATCTCTGCTCTCTAGGGCAATGTCTTTATTTTGACTTGGGTTATCCCTGTTTCATAGGCCCAACCATACTTAATGACATACCGAAACAGCAACTATACCTACACCAGTGAGACCACTGCAGATTATGGGAGCCAGATGCTGTGTGAAGATAGAGCTCCATCCATCAACTTCCCTACTTCAGGTAAACTAAGATGCTTGACATCAAAGCCAGCCAAGTGAAAGTCCATCACTGTACAGTGGTACCTCAGGTTACATACGCTTCAGGTTACAGACTCCACAAACCCAGAAATAGTGCTTCAGGTTAAGAACTTTGCTTCAGGATGAGAACAGAAATCGCACAGTGGCAGCGGGAGGCCCCATTAGCTAAAGTGGTGCTTAAGGCAGTGTTTCCCAACCTTTTTTGGGCAAAGGCACACTTGTTTGATGAAAAAAATCTCGAGGCACACCACCATTACAGCCCCGTGACGTCAGCGCGCAGCGTCACGCCGGGAGGGACGCACGAAAGTGTAACTTTCAATTTTTTTTCCCTCCCCCTTGCCGGGGAACCTCCAAGCTTTGGGGGTGGGGGGGGAGGAGGCAGCAAAGCGAGGGACTGAGGGACTCCTCCAACGACAAGGGTTGGGGAAGAAGAGAAAGGGCTATTCCGCTCCAGTCACGGGAGGGGAATATGTACTGGCCCAACTGGTGTGCGGTCTTCGGAAAGCGGGGTGCGGGAAGGAAGCCTAGGCTCGGGGTCCACCAACCTCGGCGGAGAAAGGCAACAACCGGAGCCGATGACGAGCCGGCGCGTGCGTGCAGCGGCTGGCCTCGAGCTCGGGAAGCTGCGTGCGGCGATGTTGACGCGGGGCGCGCGAGAGCTTGGGGGCGGGGCGGGAGAGAGAGAGAAAGAGTTGGTAGCACCAGGCGCTGTTACTTATTGCGCTGCGGACGCTGCCAGCAACTGCGGTGGTTGTGCGGTGGCCGCCGCCGCAGAACGTCCTCGTCAGTCAGCTGAGCTGCCTGGCGGCGTAGGGAGCCGAGGGGCGGGGCTTCCTTTCTGAAGGAGCTGAGGGTGGGGGTCCTCCGGCGCCTTCGGCGAAACGGCGCCGGCCCAGAGCGCTTCTAGGAGGCTGCCTTTGTGCGCGACGTAAAGCCCTCTTTCCCTCCCTCCAGCCCCGTGTCACATGTGGAAAAGGGGGCTGGATCCAGTGACGCAACTCGGAAAACTGTTAGGGAAGCCAGAGCAGGAAAGTGAGTGGGAGGCGCCGGCGCCGCTTTAACCCACGTTTCCTTTTTGAAAGAGAAACCAGTGTTTCCCAACCTTTTTTGGACTCGCTCGCGGCACACCAGGCAACATCTCGCGGCACACTAGTGTGCCGCGGAACACCGGTTGGGAAACACTGGCTTAAGGTTAAGAACAGTTTCAGGTTAAGAACGGACCTCCAGAACGAATTAAGTTCTTAACCCAAGATACCACTGTACTGAGTTCAGTGGAATGGTATTCTTTAAGGCAAGGAGAAATACTTGGTTTGCACAAAAGATAGAAGCCCCATTTAAGCATTTACAACAGGAGTAGGACTCTGTTTCTACTCTGTCCCTGGTGTTACATCTCTCTTGCCATGCAGCACTCAAGCTTTGTGAGTTGAGCACATGGATCTGAAAAGGGTTTCCTTCGTGCAGGCAGCTGCTCACACACAGGGGCTCCACCCAAATTTGTGGGTGTCTTGCTTGAATGGAGCCCTACAGGCAAGCGGCTGCTTGTTCGTGGCTACTTTTCCAGGTCTGTGCTCAACACATAGCAATAAAGCTGCAATGTTGTGGCTAGGACTAGAAGCTTCTCCAGTTTCAAGTGAGTGCCCTTTATATAAATAGTGAATAGGGGTAAAGTTGTGCCTTAAAAGTAAGCAGCATGATCCTTTGTGTGCTTATGTGGAAGTAACTTTCCATAGGACTTGCTCCCAGAGAAGTGCATCTAGGATTGCAGTCTAATTTATTTGCTTTTGAAAGCAAAATGATTAGCAAATAGCTCAGCAATGGAAGAGCCAGACTGAAATACCCCTGAACTTATGGGAAAGTAGTATCTGGGATACAGCAATGTCTAAGCATCTCACCAGACCATAGCTGTCAACGTTTCACTTTTTTTAAGGGAAATTCCCTTATTCCAAATAAGATTCCTTGCAAGAAAAGGGAAAAGTTGACAGCTCTGCACCAGACACAGGAGGGCAATTAAAGGCATAACGAATAGAGACACCTTCCAAGTAACGTGGGCCCCATTTTTTAATTATGTTAATGGCCCAAATCAAGAGCTGGTTATACCAACCACTCAATATTCTCAGTGGAGGGGTTACGTAAGGTAATATGTTTGAATGTGTAAGTGTATGTCTAGAGACAGCGGATAAAACAAACATTAGCTGTACTGCTGGATAAGTGTTTAATCGTTATTGTATGTATTTGTATTAGTTTAAAAACCAATAAAAATTGTTTTTTAAAAATCCTACTTCATGCATTTGCACAGCTGCTGAAGTAGGTTCTTATTTACAAAAGCATTTGTTGCAATGAGGGTATTTGCTGCACAGGGGTAGCCAATGTTGTACCTTCCAGATGTTTTGGACTACAATTCCTACCATCTCTGACCACTGGCCAAACTGACTAGAGCTGATGGGACACAAGAGCCCTATGGTGGTGATCCCTGGGTTAGTCTTTAAGGTGCCACAGGTCTCTTTGTCTTCCTGACCCTGCGGTGTGTTAGAACAGCTCCTCTCTTTCTGCAATTTGTTTGCATAACTTGCCGAAATATGATGATGTGACGCTTGCTCAGCTAGTTCATCAGCTTGCTTGCTCAGCTAGTTAGAAGGAATCATCCTTTCAGGTAATTTGCAGGCTGACTTGCTGTAAATAATTCGTTGCAACTTCAAGGCCTCATATACATTTCAGGACTTGGCTATACTTTTATAATGCTGCTAGTAGTAAATGAAGCTTGACATCCCCTTAAATGCTATTAGAAGTTGCATCCTCTCCAACTCATAGTTGACATTTCATCCTACATGAAGCTTGGCTTGCTTTGTGTTGGAATACAGGTCTCCTGTGAGGTAAACTTCCAGTCCTGTGTTTTGACCACCAGATGCAAAATAAACCCAACCCATTTTCACTCTTTCCTAGAAACCTGTGAACCTTCAGATGTTAAATGGGCATAAAATAAGAGCAGGATGAGAAGCGCGGTAACACTTCAGAGTTCTCTCCCCAATCTAAATCATTATTAAGAATTAGTGCAGTTCAGGGTTAGCCAAGATGGCACCCTTAATATGGTAACTTCCATCTTCCCTGACCATGGGCCAAGCTGGCTGGCTCTGGTGTTGGAGTTGTACTCCACAACATCTGGAGGGCACCATGTTGCCTATCCTATACCGGGGTAGGAGATCAGTCCTGGAGCTCTGGTTACCCCACCCACAAAAGAATTAAAATCCATATGGGCTGAATACTTTGTCCCAGCACTACTTAAAATGGGTATCCCCTAAACCTCCCACCAACTTGAAAAAGTTTAGAGCACCCATATCAATATTATAACCCTTTGGTGCATGCTTAACCATTTTAGAATTATATTCCAGTGCTGTAGTATTTTTAACATTGTTCCACTTATAGATCTGGTATCTTATAATGCATAGGAGTGCCAGATATATATGGAACACCAACTCCTTGTGTTGTGCAAAGATTCAGTGCCGAACAGAATTAAACGGCCCGATCCTATCCTTTGGATCTTTTGATAATCAAAATCCTTAATGGTAGCTTAGGCATTCAGCCTCTTCACTGATCAGTATGTTTCTATCTTGCCCTACACGGCCATTGTTTTATTTTATACAAAACTGCTAAATTTTGTGAATCAGAGCACGTTTGATGTCTCTCAGCACTGGAGTATAAACATTCACTAATTCACATCCTATGATTAACATAATTCTCCTTCCTGTTGCAAATTTAACCACATCTTTTTCTTTCTTTCTTTTTCCTTATAGTGCATAGCTTGAAACCAGCTGACGTGCAAGTAATTGCTGCCCTGGGGGATTCCTTGACTGTAAGAAACATTGCTCCTTTTGCCATCCCCCAAAGCGAGCTGCATCACAGTTTGCTTGCTTAGACAGAGGAGGGTATTTGGCTTACATACTGGCTTGTGGCATGTAGAATACTTTAGCATGCTAAGCAGATGGAAGATTTACTACAGCCGGGGTGTGTGTCATCACTGATGGGAGATAGTGGCCACCACATTTATATGTAAGATGGCTGCATGCACCGCTCCGCACATAGATTTCCTTATTCCCAATCATCCACGTAGCTAGCCAGAGTTCTTGGTGATGGTTCCAAGCAGTGCCAGATTTACATATAAACAAAACAAGCTATAGCTTAGAGCACCACTCTCTTGGGGGCCCAAAATTGTTTTAAAGGAAAAGAAAACTGGATGTACGTTTCCAAAATATAAGATAAAAAACAAATAAAATAAAACCTACATACAGCAACAGTGTTTTGTGTTGTGTAGGCTCCTATGATGTAAGTAATGGGCCCCGCCTGCTACTAGCCTGCTCCCTAAAATATCACTGGTTTGCTCATTTCTATATATAGGATACCATATAACATATATTCAACACAAAAAACAGCGACAATTTGTTGTTGACAAATTGTTGACAGCTGGACATATAAAGGGCCCCATTACCTTCAGTCACTTAGGGCCTCATCAAACCTAAATCTGGCCCTGGTTCCAAGGCTCTAGAACTCCTTGCCAGTTGAGGTCGAGCTTCAAATACCTTTTTCTGGCAGACTAATCAAGGGCAGCAGTTGCAGCCCAGTGTGGAAACCCCTCACACCCCAGAGGGCAAAATGACTTCACCGTGGTGACCAGCCATTGGAACGCCTCCTTGGCCAGCTGCCATCACAAAGTTTGAAATTGCCCTATCAGGTGCAAGCTGAGGGGTGGAGCCAGGATGGAGATGAAGGCTGACTGTGCCCAGTTGGCCCCATCTTCAAAGACCTTTCACCGTCCGGTCAATAAAGTTTTCTTTAAATAGGCCATTCCCCTATATTGTAAATGTGTTGAAATAACTTTTAGCTGGTGTTTTTATTGAAGTTTTTCCTACCTGATATTTTCTGGGGGTTCTTTGATATCATTGCTGTTTTATTGTATTTTATTATGTGTTTTATAATATTCTGATTATCATTAGGCAGGACAAAAAAACCCCCAAAAATAGTCAAAACTCTTCCCCCATATGCCACATTATGTAAAGTGCCAAATTATCATATAATCCAGCCAGTCATTTGCGCACATGCACCAACTCCATTTCACATTCTCTGTATTATCCTGTACAGAGTGAATATGGGACAGGGTGTTGTAAAAGTTCATTGGCCTGATTGGGTGCCACTTCTCGATTAATTGCCCCATTTATTGTCCAGTTATCTCGAGTCATGCTGATAATGTTTCTAAACCCGGCTTCATGCAGCCATAAATCCTGTTGATGGAACACAGTGTACATAGAGCTTTCAAAATGCCATGGAGGCTCTGACAAAAAGGGTCAGCTGCCCTTGTTCTAGGAGCCCGAAGCCTTAAAAGTACACTTTTCATTATGAACAACAACAACAAAAAAGACGTGAGTTGCCAACTTCATCTATCTCTTTGGTCTCTCTGAGGCAGGCTGGTAATGGCATTGGAGCAAAACCAAATGACCTGATGGATATGAATACGCAGTATTGGGGGCTGGCTTGGAGGTAGGTAACTATCCTTGTGATTTTGCTCCACAAATAGCCACTGACTTGCATTTGTGGATATTTCCTCCCATATACAGTAGGCAGTTTTAGGGCATTGTGTCTGGTTTTGCCACACTGGGCACTGAGCCTAGGGGAGCACTGCAGGGTGTCACATCTATGATGTAGTGAATTGAGCAGAAGGGAAGGCAAGAGGTGGGGTGGGTGTCGAATTTGGGCCTCACACAGGGCGTCACTGAAATTTGAAAGACCGAAGTCTGCCTCCCACCTAAATAAAAGGGGTAGGAAGTAAACAAAAGGAAACTCCACAATTATTCTGATAGGGAGACTAGCTTGTGAATGTTGAATTTTGGTGTTTGTCATTGTTCCTCTTCCTGGCTAAAACTTGGCTAAGAGGCTCTCTTTCTTTCTTTCTTTCTTTCTTTCTTTCTTCTTTCTTTCTTTCTTTCTTTCTGACTCTTATTGCAGCATTGGAGGAGATGCTTCATTAAGGAATGTAACAACTTTGCCCAGTAAGTAAAAGTCAAGGGGTTGGATCCAGATTTATAAAGCAATCCTAAGAACAGGAAGCTGTTGGCTTAAATTAAACATGCACAAAGTTTGAAATTGCCCTATCAGGTGCAAGCTGAGGGGTGGAGCCAGGATGGAGATGAAGGCTGACTGTGTCCAGTTGGCCCCATCTTCAAAGACCTAAGCCTGGCAGAGGGAAAGCAAGCCTTTAAAATGCAGTTTACTTACATCTCCCTTTTTGCCGCCATAAGTTCCACCAGGTTGCCAGGTCATATGACTAAGCTGAATGGAGTTAGGCTCCAGCCTAAATCCATTCTGCCTGGTGCCATCCTGCCACTCCGCCAGGGCTTGACATCCTCCAACATTTTCTCTACTTTGTCATCCTGTTGTCTTCTCCAACCACCTAGCCAAGGTCTTCTCAGGTTCCTGACTCCGCATCAATTATTTCACCTATATACTTCCAAGTTACTCGCTCATTTACTAGAATAATACCTGTCCTGCTTTCTGCTTACGAGAGTAGTGCTCAGAGTGGTAACAACATTAAAACAAGAAGAAAACAAGAGTTTTTTAAAACCACCGAAGTTATTATTTTCTTTCTTTCAGATATCCTCCGTGAGTTCAATGCTAACCTCACGGGATATTCGACTGGCACAGGAGACCTAAGAAAGCCAACTGCCTTTCTCAACCAAGCAGTTCCAAGAGCACCAGCTGAGTATGTCTATCCACGGCATAGTGTCATGTGGAAATTGTTCAGCTCGTGGCGGTGGTGTGGCGCATGCCCGTCGCTTCATCCTCACGCAGCCCCTGCAGCATCACAAAGTGGCACTGGACTGGCAGGGCATGCTTTTTGTGCCTGCCAAGGGCTGCGGGTGGGCAGCAGCAGCACAGGGCTGGCAGAGCAGCAAGGAGCAGAATGCACCCCAAAAAAATGTGCCTGGGGCCACTGCCCCTCTGCCCCCCCCCCGGGTCACATCCACACCCCATGTTTAACTCACTTAGATCACTTTGACATCCATGGCTTCCTCTGAAGAATTCTGGGTACTATAGTTTGCTAAGGGAACTGTAAAGGTAAAAAAGTAAAGGACCCCTGGACAGTTAAGTCCAGTCAAAGGCGACTCTGGGGTTGCAGCGCTCATCTCACTTTCAGGCCGAGGGAGCCGGTGTTTGTCCACAGACAGCTTCCCAGGTCAGGTGGCCAGCATGACTAAGCCGCTTCTGGCACAATGGAACACCGCGATGGGAGCCAGAGCACACAGAAACGCTGTTTACCTTCCCGCCACAGTGGTACCTATTTATCTACTTGCACTGGTGTGCTTTTGAACTGTAACTCCATGAGGACTCTCAAGGGAAACCATGTCTGTTAAAGTGGTACCAATTAAAGTGGCTTTAAATATGCAGCATGGATGTGACCCCAGCCTAACTAGGCCTTGATAGAAAGGAGGTGAGTCCTAAGTATTACCCAGCTTCTTTGTCTTGCAGTCATTCTGTGAAAACATGAAGGAAGTTGCTTTCATAGATATTTATCCATATGGTTCATATTTAGTACAGTGAGAGAAGGCAGGTGCTCCCCTTTCCCATGGTCTCATTTATTGTCTTTATGTGCTCAGATACTATGGTGATGTCCCTGAACTCTCAAAGACACACATATTAGAAGTCATTTCTACCACATAGTATTTACAGCCTTATCTGGCAGAGATAAAGTAAACTTGATATGGTTCCTGGAATACCATACAGCAACAAAAGGAAGAAAGGAATTACCTTCCTAATCCGACTATTCCTCTCTGCTGATATGAAACCATTTTTTATTTTCATTTTCATTGTCGAAGAATGTAAATCAAAACCAAGAACCCAAAGTAGCATTTGAAATGTCACACAAGCCTAATCATGGGAAAGAAATGAAATGTGTTTCAGCTCATTCCAAGCCCTGGAGCTTCCTTAAAAGCCTAACGTTTCCATTAGTCTTCTGGGTTGTTGTTGTTGTTGGTTTTTTGTTGGTTTTTTGCAGACTACTTTTTCATGCACTTGTTTCAGTCAGGGACTACAGAGCAAAACTAGGAGTTGAAAAAAAGTAACTCAAAGAAGGAGCAGTTTTCGCTTGGAGGCCGCCATCGCTAGTTCATTCCTGGTTTCGATTAAGGTTTTGAAAAGAAATTTCAAATGTTCTTTCTGCTTTTGTGTGTTTTCACTAAAGTACCCCAGCGGAAGTCAGAATCTCTGCTTATGGGGACCAAAAGGGTGGAAACATAGGACAAAAGAAGAGGGCAAAGAAAGAGGACACCTTTGCATAAACTGTCCAGATGCTGTCCACATGCTAACTTTTGAGGAGCACCTTCAAGGCTCCTGCTCTCCCTTCTTGTGGTCCAGGACTGCCAGAGGACTAATTTAGGACTGGGGCTCCCTTGCTGTTAGAAATGAGTCATCAGGCATTTTCATGGATGACTCATTTTTCCTTGGTCCTGTTTTCCCAGTCCAGCTGTAAACAAAGACAATATAGTCTTAAAGTGCCCCCCTGGGTCTCAGGAAATCCAAATTCCATTTTAGCCAATGATTTACCAGGTTAGATTAGGCAAGTCGTTTCCCTTTCTGGGACTGCAGTTCTCTCTTGATAAAATGGGAATAGCCACTTCTCATTGTACATACCTGTTTTTAAGGATGAGTCTACAGATATATTCAGGCACCAAATACATGCCCTGTGTCATTTTACCTTGTCCCCTCTTTCCTAGGAAATTACCAGACCAAGTAAAGCACCTTGTGAAATTAATGAAAAACGACTCGGTAGGTTGACAACATTCAAGAAACTTGCTTACTTGTCACATTCTATGAAGGGTTGCCGATAATTGCTTCATGTCGGTTGGCAACCATGCATTATATACCTGTGTGAATAAGTCAGCAGTGGTAACACGTGCATTCTTTTTCTTTGCTTAGAGAATCAATTTTGACACAGACTGGAAGGTCATAACTGTATTCATTGGAGTCCATGATCTGTGCAACTATTGCAAAGACATGGTGAGTTATGGGGATGTTCTCAAAGCATTGAGATGCTGGATGAAAGCCAAAACAGTGGTTTTCAGGGAATCAGTAAAGGCTTTCCTTTGTGATGGTAAAAGATGAAATCTCAAAGCCTGGAGACCCTAATGCAGCTTAGATGGCTTGGGTGGAGACTCTAGCTATTATTAGCACCAGAGCAAAGGTAGTTGTGCTGCCTAAAGTATCATTCTGGGTTTGAAAAAATGACTTTAAGTGGAAGCTGGAAGGAGATTGACTCTCTTACCTGCTCTGGCCACTGTTTGCAGTGTTTTCTAAGGACACAAGTTGATAAACACCACACTTCTGTGTGGTTCATTTTGGCTGCTTAATATATTACAAAAGCCCTAGATTAGCCACACAGAAAAAAATTCTGAACAGCCTTAGCAGCCCACAACCTGAGTGTCAGAACCAGTAGACCGAGGAAGTTCAAATTTTAGGGAGTCCCCATAGATTTTTTGAAGTTGAAGATGTAGCTTCAGGTATCAAATCAACTCTTGGGATGCTGGTTAAAGATGGTTATGAAAAAAGGGTGGTCTGCCTCGCTTCCCCAACCACAAGATGTTCCAAATGTGACCTCCCTGTAGGGTTTGTTTCTTTGAGATGAAAGAAAGCATTGGAGACTTAATGGTGCATTTGCTGTACAAACAGATCATGTTGGAAATTTGTAGACCATTGAACATCCATTTCATTCTCTACTTTCTGACTCCTTTGCTGTCTTAAGAATATTCAGTATGTTATTTCTATCCCTCTCATAAGAGCTGAAGGATGTGACATTCCATAGGCAGGGAAACATCTAGTCATCAGGGCTCCCAGATTGTGCAGATGTCAGATTATGCAAAAACATTATAATTATTGTCCTGTCCACAATGATCGAGACAGCCAGGTTCAGAGCATCTTGTATTTTGTGTTTTTTATCTTGTATTTTTTTTGTTGTGAACCACCCTGAGATCTATGAATGAAGAGTGGTATACACATTTAATTAATTAATTGGGAAAGGTTTTATTTGTTCATTGTAACTCTTAATTGGGATGCACAAATTCACTAGCATCATTATTTTTTTTTTAAGCTACATCATGAATTCCATGTTATGTTTCCCAGTAAGGAGTGACTTGCATGATTAATCTCGTGTCTTTATAATATTTGCAAAGGTCACTTTTACCTTTTTTAGGACTAGTAACTCTCTCTTTCTGTCTCCTACTTGTATCAGGATCACTATTCAGCTGTAAACTTTTCAAGCCGTGTTCAAAAAGCACTTGACCTTCTTCATGCAGAGGTAGGTGGCTGCTGCCTGGAGAGCATCTTTTCATTTTATTTTAGGATGTTGCTGCATAATCACACAGTGGATGTTTTTTAGGAGATTTTCAGACCCATCACTTGAAATGGTCTGAGGCTGACTACAATTTCTTACTACCCACCCAACCTCTAGTGAGGTCACATTCTACCACATCCATACAATTTCTCAGTACTAAAGTGGTATTGCTTGGTTGGTGGAGAAATGCAATTCTCCCCTTCCTATAGGTAAAGGTAAAGGGACCCCTGACCATTAGGTCCAGTCGTGGCCGACTCTGGGGTTGCAGCGCTCATCTCGCTTTATTGTCCGAAGGAGCCGGCGTACAGCTTCCGGGTCATGTGGCCAGCATAATTAAGCCGCTTCTGGTGAACCAGAGCAGCGCACGGAAACGCAGTTTACCTTCTGCCGGAGCGGTACCTATTTATCTACTTGCACTTTGACATGCTTTTGAACTGCTAGGTTGGCAGGAGCTGGGACTGAGCAACAGGAGCTCACCCCATTGCGGGGATTTGAACCGCCGACCTTCTGATCGGCAAGTCTGTGGTTTAACTCACAGCGCCACCCGCATCCCCCACTTCCTATACATGGACTCAAATAATGCACATACAAATCTACTATTGCTATGTAGGATTCAGTTAAATAGGTGTCATGGGATCCCTTCAAATAGCACATAGAATATGTCTAGTAATATGTGGCAAAATGCTCCCTCTTCTCCCTGCCTATTCCATGTTATCCCATTTTTCCCATATGAACCTACCAGCAGGTGGGTGTGGTAGATGCGGTCTGCTCCAAGGTGCCAAAAAGGTCCCTCAGCAAGGCACGCAATCTCTGGCTTCCCAAAAAAAATGAAATAAAGTTAAACCATTTTTGCAGGCCAAAAAAAAAAAATATCAAATCAGTGGGGGGGGGGGGGAGAAGAAATTTTTCGCACTGGGTACCACCTGACCTTGCTATGCCACTGCCTGCCAGGACCCTGAGATAATCTTCTGAGGCCCTTCTTCATTTGCCTCCTCCTCGAGAGGTATGGAGGGTGAAAATACGAGAATGGGCCTTCTCTGCAGTGGCTCCCCATCTATGGGAATGCTCTCCCCAGGGAAGTTCACCTGGCGCCTTCATTATACACCCTTAGGTGCCAGGCAATTACATTCCTTTTTAACCAGGCTTTTGGTTGATCTGATTTACATCCTATGCCCTTTTAAAATGTGCTTTTTTGGAGGCGGGTGCTATTGGGTTGTTGTTTTTATTTTTATTATGTATTCTGTGATTTTATATATTGATTTTATTCTGTGAACTGACCTGAGACCCCCGAGTATAGGGGGGTATATAAATTCAAATAGCAATAATAATAATCAGGTCCTAGGTCTTCACATGATTTATTCAGAAAATGTCTGGAAAGGATAATATACACTTGGAGTATTCTGTGCTTGATTGTGCAGGGAAGCCTTTAGCTATGGTATAAAACTCTCCAAAGGGATGTTTCAGTGACTATAGAATGACATCCTACAAGCATTATTGCAAAGCCACAAGGAAGCCATGTGCCTGAATGAGTAATATAATGTGACTGGGTAGGGGGTGGTGGACTTGTGCCACTATATCACTAATTACTGTCACCAACTATATTCTGTAGGTGACCATGACACACTCACATTAACATTAATCACCATTCTCTAATCTTCCTGGAAAGCTTCCATGTGGAGGGGTAGGGATATGGGGGAAACTGGGTCAAACAAGATGAGCAATGAATCAGGCTCAATAGCTGCTTTGACATAGAAACGACGCAAGTCCTGTGTTTCACACACTGTTGTCTCTTACAACTTAGTGCTTCCTTTCCCACCAGGTGCCGAAAGCTTTGGTGAATCTTGTGAATGCAATGGACCTTCTTCCTCTGAGACAACTGTTTCTGGATAGCAGATTGCCCTGTCCTGCTCATTTAGCAGTGTAAGCCAGCTTTGGTTTCTTCTTGTATCCATGTCATCCAAGTATATCTGGGCCATTCTGCATGGCATCCACACCAGCAGGTACTTAAAGCACATGGCTTCCCCCAGTGAATCCTAGCTGCTGTAGTTTACCCCTCACAGAACTGCAATTCCCAGCGTTCTTTCGGAGCAGCCATGTGCTTTAAATGTACAGTGGTGGATGGTGAGCAAGTGATCTGCTCACTGGATGTTAGGTGAGATCCCAGTATAATGGTATGTCTAGGGATGGCTTTACTATAGCAAAGAGGAAGGGCTTGAAATGGAAGCATCTCTCGGACTGCAAATTCTTAATCGGCTAAAATGAGACAAAAGCCCATGATGGCACAAATATAGGAAAACTTTCTGAAATGCCTTTGTATTAGGCATTTTGAGAAAGCTAATTACAAGCCAGCAGGATTTGTCATAACAAGCCATGTGTGGTAGCCTCAATATGTCATATTGTGCAGGTTGTGTTTTCCCTACCAAGTCACGATTTAGCAGATTTCCTTGGGAAACAAAACACAGATGTAGAATAAATAGATTATATTTAGTCTGTCTTCATTCCTTAGCATCCGATGAAGTGGACTGCAGTCCTCAAAAGCCTTATTCTATGGTAAATTAGTCTTTAAGGTCCTATAAGTTTCTCGGTTGCTGATTTTTTCCTAATTAGAGTAGTGGTAATCACTCTGGATATCCTTGGTTTCTTGTGATGGCAAAAGTGAAACATTAAAATTGTATTTGAGTCCTTGGATCCAGTATAATCCCCTACCATCACTTCTATAATTCTGATTTCTTTTATGTTTCCAATTCTGATTTTCAGTGACTTTATACTTTCTACATTTCCTTATCTATCTATCTATCTATCTATCTATCTATCTATCTATCTATCTATCATCTATCATCTTATTTCAAATACAATCTCTAAGCAGTTTACAACATCCTAAAAATATAAAAATAAAAGGGAAACCCCAAAATAAAGAAAAAATGTGTACTTTATAGCACAGATAACAATGAGATAGTCTATACTCTTAAACATCAGTATAACCTGAAACAGCCAACAGACAGTGACCATGATAACTACTCGTAGTTCCAAAATATGGCTTTATCAATATATGCTGTTTTTGTCCCGCACTCCCTTTAATTTCATATGCAGAGAGAATTGTGAGTGTGTTCTCACCGTTCAAGAAGGCTCACCAGAGCTGGCGAGGATGAAGGAAGCAGTCAAAGCTTATCAGGTATATCTGCAAAGAATCAATATTGCCATTTTGCATGTTATCTGCTGTCTTTGTATGAATGTTGTTACATTATACCCCAAAGCAACCATATATTGTTCTTCTGGAACATCCTACGACATGATTTAAAACTACCACACTCTAGAGAAAAAAATTGGATAACTGTCTCAAGAGAACCCCACCAACATTTCATGATTTGTTATAATCTGGACCATGTATATTATGTGTGTGGTTTCTGTGCTGTTCTTGGCACAGAAATTAGTTTCCTAACAGTACCCTGGCCCACACTTTCTGCTAAATCATGGTTCAACATTATACCATAGTTTAGTGTGCCTTGAACTGTGGTTTGTTTACATCTTGCAAATCATAATATGAAACCATGGTCTGTTCTTGAGGTACTCCTTTTATTTTTATTCCACAGAGCAGTCTGCAAAGCCTAGTGGAGACTGGCAAGTATGACACCCAAGAAGATTTTACAGTAGTATTGCAGCCTTTCCTCCAAAGCATCGTACTTCCTCTTCTACAGGTGTGTCTTGGCTGGATTGAACGTGGATGTGTATGTTGCTTACCTTATAAGAAAGCCTGCAGAGCTTTTAGGACATTCTGTGGGATCTTGAAAATTTGACATAAGGCTGTTATGATGCAATTTGGATTGAGTCTTGGACTCTGGGGGTGGCTTGATTATTCAGCATTCATACTGCCTTGCTCATGCAGTGGTTAGACTGTGTCTGATCCTTACTGAGCATAGCGTGTGGTCTGTGAACACTGACCTATATTGAGGTGATGAGAAGGACTTCCTGCACAGCAGCCAGCACTTCTATGTGGGTTCACAGAACACTCAGACCAGTGGCCTACTATTCCATATTAGACTGCGCACAGAAGTAAAAATATGTAATGACTTCCATTCCTGCATCTTTGCAGTGTTTGTGAGCTGAGGTTACTAGTATGAAGACCCAGTACCCTTTAGTTTAGACCTGCACCAGCATGTCTTAATTCTCTCTGGGATCGGGAACATATATATATACTAAAATACAAAGCACAATGCAAAGCAAAAATAAGAAGAAGCTTTGTTAGCAAGGACAAAACCTGTCCTGCCATAAAAGAACCTTTCAGACTGAGATACTATGCAACTGTTTTCAAAAGAGGAACTGAAATGACCAGGGCTTGTTAAAACTATAGATGAAGGCTGAGTATTCGCTGTGACTGACAGTTGCTTTGTTTGTCACTCTTAAAGAAACACCAGCAGGGTTACATCAGCTTTGAAAATGTTGACTGATTTCAACATTTTACATTTTTTGCAGCAAGTTGTAATTTGTCAGTTTACATAAATTGCTCTTTTGCAGTTTATAAATGTGACCTATCGTTTTGTATTCTGTTGTGCATCCTTTTAATTCATGTTTCCTAGTTCTTTCAGGCTTGAAGTAACTTTTTAAAAAGCAGTTTATGCTGCAAGTAAAGTTAAGAAAAACTGTTGTGGCAACGCAAGAACTTTATTGACCTGAAAGAGCTCACTTCAGATTTGACAGAATTGACACATACCGTGTAATGCCTCCACCCCCTGCTATTGACTTGAATGGAATATTAGTTACCAGAGAATTCAGGCAGTCTCTGATAGTTTCAGACTAGACACTAAAGAATTCAAACATTTTCACTGGATTGAATTTTCGGGATTGTCTCTTTGAACCCCCCACTCTCTCAACCTTTTTTCAACCTTTTCAGGATGGACGTCCAGACATCTCTTTCTTTGCACCTGATTGCTTTCATCTGAGTCAAAAGTCACATTCCCAGCTTTCTCGGGCCCTCTGGAACAATATGGTAGGGCATGGGATTTGAGAATTTTGCTAATGTCCTCTTATTTGTACAGTGTATATCTCCTGGGTAGCAAAGACCTTTATGCCATTAAAATATATTTTGCATATTCAGATTTTCTCCTTGTTGTCTTCAGATTATGTATTTATTTGTTTACTAGCAACTAGAATTGCTCAGGAATTCTAAGAAACTAAAAAATCTGTGCTACTTTGAAAATAGTGCTTAAAACTAGCGCAGTTTTGAAAGGTTTAGGCCACCATTTTGGTTCAAGATGGTATCCAATCTTATCCAGACATAGACAAAGTTCATTGAACCATCATACAAAAATTGGTTGCAATTTCTTAAGGGATGTTCAAATTCATAGTGAACAAACAACTTCTAAAAATATATATAGTAGATATAGTAACACCTATGTACATGAGGCCTTCTAAGGAGCAGACATAACAATTATTCCCAAGGGGCTTACAGACTTGAGAGAAACAAGGAAACAACAGGAAGGTACATATGGAAACAACGGTAGGCAGGAGAAGAATATATGATTATTTCAATTACATGTGTTTTGGATAAGTTACCATAAGAGCATAGGGAAAGGGGGGGTGACCCAAAGGCTTCCAGGAAAAGGTGAGATAATCCTTGCTCTCACTGCTGTGAAATTATTGTCCTGTAGACAGTTGCTGTGTCACTCACTTAGAATTTTAGTTAAATTTCAGTGGCAATAAAACTGAGAACCCTTGAGAAAATGAGTTTGCAAAGTGCCTCGGGGATCAAATTATGGAACAAATGCATCATAGTATTTATTAGTTTTTATTTTGAAAGACAATTATTAGGGGGGGGAGAAGAAACACTGTTATATAACCATTTGTTTTGTTTTGCAGCTTCAACCTTTAGGGAAGAAATCCATTTCCTTCAACTTTACAGATAATGTAGCCCTGAGCTGCCCAACTCTGGTAAATAGAGCATCATCTTTCAGGGCAAAAGGTGTCAAATGTGGGTCTCAGCAATCTAACACTCAAAGGATAAGCCACTGTCTTATGTGATCAATTATTTTTCCAACTAAGCCCTCTTTTTAGAATACAGGTGTCCCCCTACCTACGCACAACTGACTCACATTCAACTCTATGTGCGCGGTGCTGGGAAGTAATTAAATAATTCAGTTCAAACCAAGAAATGGCAGGAGAGCTGGAGAGTCCTTGTGGCTCATGAGGAGCCCCTCCCTGGAGCCCAAAGAGGACATCAGTGAGGGTGGAGGAAACCCCAAAGAGAACGGAGGTGCAGCAGGGATTTGTTTATGCTGCCAAGCCTCCCTGCCTAACAGCTGATGTGTGGGGTAGCACAGAAGCAGCGGCCATTTTCCTGCACCTCCTCCAGCCTCCTGCTGGCCCTAGAGCTTCAATTCTAGTTGTTGGATATTTTTGGATGCAGTATTTTTAGTCTGGATTGGTGAGAGAGCAGCAGAGAGAGTGTTTAAAGGGTGTCCCCACTTTACATGATTTCACTTACTTTTTAAAATATATATATAATATTTTTTATTGAGTTTACATAATTTTGACTATAATCACAATCCGTTAAAATCATAACATCACCTATAGCCTTGCTCAAACTGAGCCTTGACTCCCCCCCCCCCCACTCCTTGGCGATCATAAATATTCACTTACAACTTAGCATTTCTATATCAACCTGTTTACCTTCTTTCATGCTTATAAAATTTACCTTGATAATTGTAAAGAGGTTCCAAAAATTAACATTGCAAAATATTTTAACTCAAACCTGCAAACGCTTTCAAATGTTTACAATGTTCTCTCATATATTGCATAAATTTACTCCAGTCCTTTTCGAACAGCTCGTTGCGCTGCTTTCGGATCTTCCCCATCAGCTTCGCCAATTCTGCACATTCCATCATTTTAGTCTGCCAGTCTTCCAATGTTGGAAGCTCCTGCTGCTTCCATTTATGGGCTAAAAGTATCCTCACGGCTATGGTAGCATACATAAATAAATTTATAGATTTTTGGGGAATTTCTTCTCCAATTATACCCAACAAAAACGCCTCTGGTTTTTTGATAAAGGTATTTTTAAAAACCTTTTTCAGTTCATTGTATATCATATCCCAGTAGGCTTTAACCTGAGTACAGGTCCACCACATATGGTACGTGCACAGGGGCCCAGAACACAATCCCTGCCTAAGGGGGGGGGGTACCTGTACTGAGTTTCATAGAAACTGCCCCCTCCCCCCCCCACACACACATAAGCTTTCTCTGTCAGAGATGGGAGCTTTCTGTCCCAGTTTACAACAATGAGTTCATTTGTGTATCTGTATGTACATTTGTTATGGCCCAGGGGTTACTAAGCCACATAGCAGAGAAAACAAATAGAAAGCTTCACCTTTCCACAATATGCCTCCAGTTTTCTTACTGCCCTTGCCAGTTCCTTGTGCTTCTCATCTCTCCAAGCAGAACTAGTACATTTCACTTGGCTCACTTCCATAAACTTGCAGGTCTATTTACATGGACTAGGAGTGCAAGCATATGCACATTTACTCAGAAGCCCATCCCACTTATGTGCAAAAGTTAGATTTTCAGATTTTATTCTATTTTAGTATTTATTTGAAAAATGTACAGATTGCTAACTAGCAGAATGCAACAATAAAATTTCAATTAATAGGAGAGATAGAAACAGTTTTCAAAAGTAACTGTGATACTGCCCTGATTTGATGTCCTTGTTTGCCTTCAGGGTAAAGGTTTTCCATCCTTAAATTCTGGGCTAGGTCCACTTCCTGGTCTCTCTCTAATGGGTTCCTAAAGCCAAACTCTTCTTTCTTTGTGAGAATCATGATTGCAGAACTAAATTGAATTCATATTGGCAAGCCCCACAGACCTCAACTCTAATAAATGCATCCTTCTGGTGCTGGCATAAATTCTGCAGTATTTGGAGCTTGAAATGTTCTTCCTTTCTTTTAGCACCAACCATTCCTGGGAACCTACAAGAACAGCAATGGTTCACATTCGCCTCTGGAGCCCACACAGAAGCCAAGCCAGGTGATTCCTTTCTCATTTACTGTGCCTTATACATGTGAGCATTGTACTGAACATCTGTTGTCTACAGGATCTTTTCACACTTCACATAAGCACCCTGCAGTGACTGTTAAGGGAGGTGAGCTCTCTTTAGATGGATGCACCTGCAAGAGATAAACTTGAATTTTGAATCCTGCCTTATGGATTTAATTGTGCAAATGCAGCCAGCGCCTCTTGCAATGAGCTGTTTGAAGACCAAACAAAATGAAGATTGTAAATCTATGTGCAAATGCTAAAGGTGTGATATGAATTATAAGTAACAGTACACTAGTGGCCAAAATTGTGGAAACCTATTGGGAAAAGTGTATTGCAGAGATTTGATGGCTCATAACACCACTTTTATTTGGAGTAATATCATAAAATTATATATGAATGGAATGATAATTTAATGAAGAATGTAATGCAACAAAGTTTGTTCAGTTATCTGTATTCTATCAAAAGGTATAGCCAAATAACCAGAAAAATGAAGCACAACTTACTTAGGTTGATATACAGTACCTTTCCTTCATTTGAATGTAGCCAATGAGCGTGAGTGTTTAGAGAGCCAATTAGGTGTCATCTTGCTTTGGCAATGATCCAATCAGGTCACAGTAGGATTCAGCTATTGATGTTATATATTGGAGCTGAGAGAACATCTGTCAGTGTGTTATGTGATCGCTATCAAGTTGGTGGTTGTTTTTTGTGTTCTTTCATTTAGTGAGCTTATAAAACATAATAAAATTAAAGAAATGGCGCAGAGAGTTTACTGGTTGCCCAGAAAGCGATATAAAACTAGGACTACATGATCGCATGCTATCTCTAGTATGAAGCATGGGGGTGAGGGCAATAAATGGAGGCTGATTAGTATGGACCCCCAAAGGCTGGAAGTGGGGCTTTCTTGGGCTTCTGAACCATGACTTGAAATTCTTGCATGTTCAATATATTTTCATTTCATTTGAAAAGCTTCTAATGATGTGTTGATTGCATTTGTCTTTAAGAGCTGGGGTAGTGATCTGTCATGCCCTAGACAGGCTGCATCCAAAAAAGCCCCGACATCAGGTGAGAAATAAGGAGATACAGAAAGAACACATAATGCAGAGTTTTGCTATCTCTTTCTTTTGCATTTTTTAAAGTCTCAGGGGGGTGTTACTGCGAGATTACCAGCGGGGAGGGGAGGGAAACTGGTAGATAAACGTGGTCTTCTTTTTCATTTTTTATTTATTTCTAAGATTCTAGCATTTTTGTCCATTCCATTTTTCTGCACTTGCAAATTCTGCACCTGTGAAGGCTGTAGACTTGTTTTGAAATTAAAACCAGTATTCTTAGAGCTCTGAAAAGAGTATCTTATCACAACCATAAGTACCTTTAGGGCTGCTGTGGGTATAGATAAGGGTGGAAATGCTGTACGCAATGAATATTCTGTTCACTTCAGTGGAATTTAAGCTTCCTAGCTGCTTGCAGGATTGCCCCCCAAAGAGAGAATTAAACTCAGAATATGGCAACCAAGATAATTCAGGATTTAGAAAATGCGTCCCGTAAGGAATATTTGTGCCATTGCTTAGTGAGAATGTTTTAATGTTTAGCATTGTTGATTTGCTTGTTACAATCCTATGCATGTTTACTTAGAAGAAAGCCCCAAATGGGTTTAATAAAGCTTGTTCCCAGGTAAGCGTACATAGGATTGCAACTTAAAAGTAGCTTCCATCTCTTTAGTTTCCAAGTTCAGCCCATACAGTATATCATTTCTGGTCCGTGTAGAATTTTAAGGACCCTTACTGATTGCTTGATTGGACTTTGTTGAATTGTATTTGTATCAAGCGATTCATGAATATCTTAACAAACAAAGAAAACCATACCAGTGACACCCTTCCCCTATGATGTCCTCCTTCCACCACCCCCTTATCCAGTCCACAGGCTACAACCTTCTGACATCAAAGTGATAGCTGCCCTCGGTGATTCTTTGACGGTAGGTCTACGGGATGCAGCACCCGGGGAAATTCTACTCTCCACAAAGATGCTGTGGTATCAGTCGACACCCAGCAATAAGGTTAAACTTAGCAAAGGAGAATTCGTGCCCAGCACACTTGGTCCAATAAAAGGTATCATCTAAATGCTTTGGAATATTGTATGCTTAGCCGGACATTTCAGTTTGCAGCAGGGTGCCTATTATGAAAAGAACCCTGGGCGTGGGTTTAGCCATCGTGGAAACCTGGTGCAAGTTGTAAAGATCACATCTGTACCATACATTTAAAGCACGTTGGGTGCATTCAACCGAACGCCAGGACAGTTGTTCCATCAGCTTGCCAGACAGAACGATTCCCTCTCTCCTCTCCTGTACATTGTTCTGGGGGTTATCCCCACCCACTGAGCCAATTTTGGGGGCTGCAGAGGGTGTGAGAAGGGGGAAGCCCCAATGTGCTAGCAGAAGTCCTTGCACGGGCTTTCGCTAGTGGGACTCATTAATTGAATCCCAGCCACGGCTTCCCCAAAAGAAACATGGGAACTGTAGTTTTCCCCAGAGAGCTACAATTTCCAGAGAGAGAGAGAGATTCACATTTCAGATTGCATGATCCCCTTGGCTAATTCTGCTTAAAATTATTCATGGCCTCATAAATCAGCAGCAATCATTAAAACTCCTTTCTCGTCATATCATCCCTTGCAATGTATATAATTTATATATATTTCATTTACAGGCTGCTGTAGGAGCCAAATCAACTGGTTTGGATGATCTAACCACAGCTTGGAGGGGGATTTCCTGGAGGTACAGCATTTGCTAGAATTTATCCCAGATGCTGCTGGAGCAAAGAATTTCATGCACCTTTTTTAAGAGCGCCATTATATAGATGAAAATGAGAACAGAAAGTGTATGTGACAGTTACATGTCTGAGCATATCCTCATGCCCAGACATGCAATCTGTTCTTTTTCCAATAACAAGAAGTCTTATTAGTACCCTTATAAGAATACGCTGCCATCAAGCAATCTTGCGGGCTGCATATTGCACTTCTTCCCAAGCTGTACTTCAGCAAATAATTTCTGAACTGATCAGGGTTTGAGATTACTCTCAAGTGAACAAGCTTGCACTAGGAGTGGCACAATGGAGTGGGAGGTTATGAAACAGCAACACACAGCTTGCTTCATGCTTATGTGCATTGATTTGGATCTGTTCAACTCAGTCACCTGGTGCAGATTTCCTTCCTTACACAGATTTTTGTGCAAGAATGGACATTTTACTAAAAAAAATTAAAGTCAGACAGTGGTCATTATTGCACACAAATGTGGAAGAATAAGATGGTAATTATCACACATTATCTGGAAACTTCTGTCAATTGCTCAGTTGTCATCTTGCCCGGTATGCAATTAATGCACATAAATGAACATGTCTGAAAGGTGAATTTTGAGGCTACCTTTCTTTTTCAGAAATCAGGGTAATCTGCTTCTATTAGATCTCGGATCAATATGGGATTATAGAGAAAGGAAAACTAAATGTGTGTGCAACCACATAGTGCACTGAACTGCACTAAAAGGTTTAATGCGCAAATGCGCCCTGACATTTCACACACTCTCCTAAAACTTTAGAACCCCAAATATCTATTGGGCACCAACACAGTCTGGCCTCTCAGTGAATAAATGTTAACAAATCTAGTTTATTATCAGCAAGATCAGATTAAAGGAGGTCAGATCTCAATATGTACTACATATATCAGCATAAAGGGGAGCATTTCTAAGTTCTTAGCTGTGTGTTCTTGCTAGAGGCTTACATCTGTTTTAGCTGCAGGCCTGTTTTACTTGATTTGAAAACTTCCCCTTCATTCATACTTGTTCCTATCCTTTTATCCTTAAAAGCTGGATGGCTTTTCCCCCATGGAGGTTTTGAGGGACTTTTGTTCTTAATTCATCTCTACCCTACTCCTTGCTAGTACAGCTGTGTTTCTCGGACAGATGGTAGATGCCCTTTGATACAGTGTTAATTCCAGTGACCGATTTGGTATTACCCTTTTTTCTAGTGCTGGAGGTGATGAAACCTTGGAGACTCACACAACCTTATCTAGTGAGTATCTTTTGACATACCATGGCGTGAAAGAGGAACGTTCATGACGATATTAATCCTCTCAAAGCCATAATTTGAAGGTTTGTGAACAAGCACTGTGTTTACATGCTTTCCCCTCTTACATGTGGGCCTTAATTGCTCACTTGCCGCTTGAATGAAACCATAGTTTGTGATGATGTCCGGATTGGCAAACCATTGTTTGAGTGATCCCGCCAACCGCTCCGCCACCCCATGTTTTCATCCTGTGTTGCAATCCTGATTTGGAGAGATGACTTAAACCACCGTTTGCCAGCTTGGATGTCAGGGCAAACTAGTTTGATGCCAACAGAACAGAATGAATGAAGCCCTACGTGAGAGGAGAGGAGCACACAAGCACAGTGCTTGCTCAAAATACAAACGCAGTTGTCAGAGCTGGCTCCAGGTCCCAGCTCACAGAGGACCAACGCTAGCCGGCAGTAATGTACAAAAGTCTTTATTGAAGTACAGTTTCCATTTCCAAACCGGAGCGCCCCAGCTCTACGTCTTAGAGCTAGACCGGCGAAGCTCCATCTGAGTCTCCGCCCCCTGTACACCAGTTTAAGACTCTAACCTTACTCCACCTCTTCCGTCTCTCCTTTCTCCTCTGGGTCCTTCTACCCCCCGGGGTCCCTTCAGTCCTGGACTCTTCTGACGCTGACGCTGACCCCCCTGAGTCTCCTCCCTCCTTTCGGCGGGCTTTAGGACCTGGCTCCCTATCCGGGCTGCCCACTGCGCCGCCCTCTTGTACATTTGAACTTGGCGCGCGCGCCCAGTCTCCGACCTTCCTTTTGACCGTTTCCTCGCTCTCCGATGGAGGTGTGGCCAATCCTGACTCATGTCCTCCCGCTGGCGGTGCGCCGCCTGATCCCGATGCCTGGGACTCCTCCCCCCTACTGCGCTCTGGTGGAGAAGCTGGTCCTGATTTCCAACTGCTGCTCTCTGAGTCCCCTCTTGCCCCTTCTTCCTGGGGTGTCCCCCTAGGCACCCCCCTTGCTCTGACCATGGGAGCCCCTTTCTGTGAATCCTCCGAGTCGCTGGAGAGACTCAGAGACCTCGGACGGCTGTCATCGCTAACATTTCCTTCAGATTCCTCCCCCTCGGTCTCTATTTCCTCCCTCTCCTGTGCCTCTGCTCCTGAGCCCCTGACATCCATCCCCCCCTCGAAGCCCCCCTTCCCCCCTCCCCTCCTTCCGGTGTGGGTACTGGGTGCTCCGTCGTTGTGGGGGTGAGTGCCGGATACAGTTCGTCCCCCTTGTCGTACATCCAGCCGGATAAGTCCGGCTCGTCCTCCGTGCTCTCGCCGACGTCGATCTCCTCTGCCTCCATCTCTCTGCCTCCGTGCTCGAACCCAACGTCCTCCCCCAACACGTCCATGTCCGTCTCTCCCCCGTTCTCATCTGAGGGTGTTGCCTGCCAAGGACCCCCCAGCCACTTCCTGCGCCACTGCTCCTCTGGTTGATCGTCCCACCAATAAGAGCGGTCTGAGGCCGACCCCGAGGGTGATCCCTCCGGAGAGCGTGTGTCTGGTGCCGGTTCCTCGTCCGAGGCGAACCCCTGGAACGTGCTGGCTGAAAGTGTGGGTGTGAAAAGCCAGTCGTCGAAATACTCGGCTGGCATGGGCCTGTGTGGGAAGAGGGCATGAAATTCTTCTTTGAGCAAAGGTTCCTCCAAGGCATAATCCGGCACCCAACTGTTGGCGCTGGCCGGGGTACCTTCTCTGGCGAGGAGATATTCTACTCCCTCTTCCCCCCATCTCGAGTCTAAAATCTCCGTGACTTCGTTGATGGGTTCCCCCCTTGGCGACCCCCTCTTTGTGGGCGTTTCCCTGAGCGGGTCTGGTGCCGTGCCTGGCTCCTGAAATCTGTGAGGTGCTTTATAGGGCGTGAGCACTGATCTATGGAACACCGGGTGCATTCTGGATCCCTCCGGAAGTGTCAACCGGAAGGCCACTGGATTGACCTGTGCCTCGACTTGGTAAGGCCCTAGCTGCTTATGTCCGAGCTTCTTCTTGGCTAACGATCTGGCCGGCACTGCCTGAGCTGCTAACCAAACCCAGTCTCCCACCTGTATGTCTTCCCCAACCCTTCTGTGTCTGTCAGCCTGCAGTTTGTATGCGTGCTTTGCTAGTTCTAACTGCCTCCGAAGCTGTTCGTGGACCTCCTGCAACTCTGATGCTAAGGCTTCCGCTGCCCGTGGCTCCCCCTCCCCCACTCTCTCTAATCCCGGGAAAGTTCTGGGATGCCTCCCGTTGTTGGCGAAGAACGGTGTCACTCCCGTGGACACGTGCTTCGTGTTGTTGTAGGCGAACTCGGCGAGCGGCAGGTAGTCCACCCATGTTGCGGGCTGCTGATTTGCGTAGCATCTCAGGTACTGCTGCATGATGGCGTTGACCCGCTCCGCTTGTCCGTTGGTCTGCGGGTGTCTCGCCGACGCTAGGTTGATCTTGACGTTCAGGAAGCCCATCAGCTTCTGCCAGAAGTTCGAGATGAACTGTCGCCCCCGGTCGGACAGGATAGACCGTGGTAGACCGTGAACCCTGAACACGTGGTCTATGAACAGTTTGGCGGTCTGTTCGGCCGTGGCCACCTTCGCGCACGGAATGAAGTGGGCCATTTTGGTGAACATGTCCACCACCACTAGCACTGCTGTCTTGCCCCTCGAGCTGGGCAGATCCGTGACAAAGTCCAGGGCCACCCTCTCCCACGGTTCGAGCGGTGTCTGCAGCGGTTCCAGCAGTCCCGCCGGCGGTTTGTGCACTGACTTGGCCCTCTGGCAGGTGTCGCACCTCGAGACGTAATCCGCGACTTCCCCCCGCATCTTGGGCCACCAAAAATCTCTGGCTACTAATTCTACAGTCTTTTCTTTGCCAAAGTGCCCGGCGGTGGGAGCGTCATGTAACTGCTGCAGTACCCTTGCGCGGAGGTCGTCTCCCGGTACGTAGAGTGCCCCCTTGCGGATGAGTAATCCGTCGCGTATCTGGAACTCGTCGTCCTTCGCCTTGCCCCTGTGCACCTCCTCCATCTTGGCTTGTGCGAAGGGGTCCTCCTGCAGCGCGCGACGTACGGCTTCCAGGTCCACGGTTGCCGAAGCGCACGCCCACGCTTCCGGTGCGAAAATGTGCTTGGCCGCCGACGGTGCCGCCTCCTCGAGGTATTGCGGCTTCCTGGACAGTGCATCCGCCATGACGTTGTTGTCGCCTGGGATGTACTCTATCCTGAAGTCGAAGTCCGCGAAGAATTCCGCCCATCGTATGTGCCTCTGGTTCAGGAACCTCGCCGTGCGCCAGTACTCCAGGTTCTTGTGGTCCGTGCGGACCTGCACTGTGTGTTTGGCTCCGATAAGGAAGTGCCGCCATGCCTTGAACGCTGCATGAATAGCTAGCAACTCCCTGTCCCAGATGGTGTAGTTCTGCTCTGACTTGCTGAGCTTCCTGGAGTAGAAGGCGCACGGTCTCCAGTCCCCATGCGGGTCTTGTTGCAACAGGACAGCTCCCACGGCCCTGTCTGAGGCGTCTGTCTCCACCCTCATCGGTCTGCTGGGATTCACATGCAGTAGCTGCTCTTCGGACGCGAAGAGACGCTTGAGTTTCTGAAAGGACTGCTCCGCTTGCTCCGTCCAGATGAATTTCTTCTTCTTGGAGCTGAGCGTGTCAGTGATGGCCGCCGTCTGCATAGCGAACCCCTTGATGAACTTGCGGTAAAAGTTGGCAAAGCCGACAAACCGCTGGACTTCCTTCCGATTGCGTGGGCTCTTCCAGTCCAATACTGAGCGAACCTTGGCGCTGTCCATGGCGAGCCCCTTGTCCGACAATTTGTAGCCCAGGAAATCCACCTCCGTCATGTCGAACTGGCACTTCTCCAGCTTGGCGTACAGTCTGTGCTCCTGCAGTCTCTGCAGAACTTCCCTGACATCCCTCTCATGAGCCTCTCGCGATGCTGAAAATATCAGGATGTCGTCCAGGAAGCAGACGCACTTCTTGTAGAGGAGTCCCGCCAACACGTGATGCATGAAGGCTTGAAAGCAGTGGGAGCCATTTTGTAATCCGAAGGGCATAACTCTGTATTCATAGGTGCCCAGTGGCGTGAACATGGCCGTTTTCCACTCGTCGCCCTCCCGTATGCGAATCAGGTTGTACGCCCCTCGCAGGTCCAACTTGGTGAAAACGCGTCCTTTCCTCACAGTCGCGAGCAGGTCGTCTATCCTGGGCATGGGGAAGGCTGAGGGCTTGGTCTTCGAGTTCAAAATTCTATAGTCCACCACCAGTCTTTTTTGGGGCGTGTCCTTTTTCTTCACAAAGAATACGGGACTGCCCCCCACTGCTTTCGACTCCCGGATGAAACCGCGCTTTAAATTGTGATCTATGAACTCCCTGAGTTCCTGCAGTTCGTCTTCAGACATGGAATACAGTTTCCCTGTCGGCAGCGTCGCCCCCGGCAGGAGGTCAATCTTGCAGTCATAGGACCTGTGGGGAGGTAGCTTGTCCGCTTCCTTCTCGCAGAAAACCTCCAAAAACTCCGCGTACTTGAGTGGCACTGCTTGCAGCGTGCCCAATTGTAACTGCGGGTCATCCTCTTCCCCTTCAGGGCTAGGTATAATGCAATGTTCCGCACAGTAGGAGGAGCCGAAAGTCAGTTGGCGTTGGTACCAAGCCAATGCTGGACTGTGCCTGTGCAGCCAACTCATGCCCAATACTACAGGCGTGTCCGACAATTGGGTGACATTGAAGCTGATGACTTCCCGGTGATTCCCAATTTGCATCACCATCGGCGGCGTTTGCTGCACCACCTGCCCCCCTAGCAACTCCCTGCCATCCACCGTGACAACCTTCAGGGGCAGCGTGGCTGGCAGTAGCGCTATGTTGTGTTGTTGAATGAACTCCAGTCCTATAAAGTCTGCGTTACTGCCAGAGTCAATAGTAATAGGCACTTCCATAGTTAGTCCATTGGGTAGCTGGAGCGATGCGGTGAGTTGCACCACTGGTTTGGGCGGGAGGGGGTCTGTGGGCTGCAAAATTTCTGGGGACTGCTTCACTGACTCGTCTGGCTGGGCCCCAGTGCCTCTGTTTCCAGCCAGACTCTGTCGTTTCCCTGCTGTGGTTCTCTCTGCTGAGTTGCTTCCGTTACTGTTGCGGAGGCTGCAGTGTGTCTGTGGAGCCTCTGGGGACACTCTTTCGCCATGTGCTGCGGATTGTCGCAGATGTAACACTTCCTGTTCCCTCTAGGCGGCTTCGCTTTGACTGCTCCCGGTGTTAGGGCTCTGGTTGCTGACTGAGCCCTGGCGCCTCCAATCTCCATCGGTTCCTCTCCCCCTCCCTGCGGAGGTGTGGATTGCGCACGCGCTGCATCCCTGGGAAAGAGGGGAGGTGCTCTCGCTGGCGTGCGTCCCCAACGCCCTTCATCTTTGCTCCATGGACGTTCTTCCAGACGCACCCCAAGTGTCAGCGCCCGCTGGACGATTTCCTGAGTGCTCTTTGGTCTCTCCCCCCTTGCAATTTCATCTTTAACATTTGCATTCAAGCCTTCCCAAAAAAGGTCTCTGACTGGAGCAGAATGTTTTTCCCAACCCAGCGCGTTGACCAATGCAAAAAAGCGAGAATGATACTGCCTTACAGTGGCTCTTCCTTGTTTCAAACCATGTATGTCTTTTCTGGCGATATCAATGTCTATATTAGATAAAAAACACGAATCCATCGCTTTAATGAATGCATCCGCACTTTGGAGCGCCGGATCTTTATCTCTCCACAGATTACGCAGCCACGCTTTAGCGTCTCCATGCAAATGAGAGAAGATAAACCCCACCTTCTCTTGCTCATCTCTAAAGTCTTTATCCAGCAGTTGCAGCGCAAACAGCACGTCTGCTCGGAAGTTGGGGTACTGCTGTAAATTCCCATCGAAATGAGATACAAGGCTGCCTCCTCTCTTCCCCAGCCCAATCCCCTCTGATTTGGGTCCCGGTTGCCCCTGCTTAGTAAGCACTTCCAACCTGGCTTGGAGATCCCTGCAGGCGGCAGCCGCTTCGTCTTCCCTCTTCCTGGATGCGATTACCTCCGCGTTGAGTTGTGTCACTGCATTTTGCAGAGCTGCTATCTGCTGTTCTGTAGTCATCTTGCCTGACTTTTGTGAGCTCGCGAAGCACCAATCTTCGCCCCTCGCTGCGTAACCTCACGCTGCGAGGTTTTTGGTGCAAAAGGAGATGGAGCTTACTGTCAGAGCTGGCTCCAGGTCCCAGCTCACAGAGGACCAACGCTAGCCGGCAGTAATGTACAAAAGTCTTTATTGAAGTACAGTTTCCATTTCCAAACCGGAGCGCCCCAGCTCTACGTCTTAGAGCTAGACCGGCGAAGCTCCATCTGAGTCTCCGCCCCCTGTACACCAGTTTAAGACTCTAACCTTACTCCACCTCTTCCGTCTCTCCTTTCTCCTCTGGGTCCTTCTACCCCCCGGGGTCCCTTCAGTCCTGGACTCTTCTGACGCTGACGCTGACCCCCCTGAGTCTCCTCCCTCCTTTCGGCGGGCTTTAGGACCTGGCTCCCTATCCGGGCTGCCCACTGCGCCGCCCTCTTGTACATTTGAACTTGGCGCGCGCGCCCAGTCTCCGACCTTCCTTTTGACCGTTTCCTCGCTCTCCGATGGAGGTGTGGCCAATCCTGACTCATGTCCTCCCGCTGGCGGTGCGCCGCCTGATCCCGATGCCTGGGACTCCTCCCCCCTACTGCGCTCTGGTGGAGAAGCTGGTCCTGATTTCCAACTGCTGCTCTCTGATTCCCCTCTTGCCCCTTCTTCCTGGGGTGTCCCCCTAGGCACCCCCCTTGCTCTGACCATGGGAGCCCCTTTCTGTGAATCCTCCGAGTCGCTGGAGAGACTCAGAGACCTCGGACGGCTGTCATCGCTAACATTTCCTTCAGATTCCTCCCCCTCGGTCTCTATTTCCTCCCTCTCCTGTGCCTCTGCTCCTGAGCCCCTGACAGCAGTCAAAGCCTGCCTGATCTTGTATCAAAGTGATTGTTAAGTAATCACACACTGAACAGAGCAAGAACAGCTACAGAAGAAAACCAGGCAGCCGCTTGGGTGTAAAAAATCCAGGGCTGTGTGCTTTACTTGTGTAAATAGCTTTGAGAAAGAGTCCTTGCCTGTACACCCAGAGATTTCCACTTTCCCAGTACATGACTTAAAGCAAAATGGAGATACTAATCAGTTAGTGATGATGTCCAGTAAATTGGCAGGCTGATCTACTCATATAGAGAATGATAGGGTGATAGCTAAATTACTGGGATTAAAAATAAAAATAAAAAGCTCGCATCCCAGTCAACTCAGCAACCTGGTGCTCTACAGATGCTTTGGACTACAGCTCCCACCATCCTTGGCCAGCAGGGATGTGCTTGGAGTACACCAGGTTGGGGAGGGATGCATTGAAGATGGAGCACCTGGGCTAACCCTGATATTGGATCCCTATTTAAAACCACTTCACATGCTATATTCTTCCAATCTCTGTATAGGGAAATTAGTGCTTCCTACCAATTCAACCCCAGAGTCGTCCGCAACTGGACCTAACGGTCAGGGGTACCTTTACCTTTACCATTTGAATTCAGTGAGCTACAGTGACTTCAAAGTATTTGTGTGGTGTTGGTGGGGGGGGGTCCACTCCGGACAAAACAAATTGCACTCTTATTCCCATGCAAAATAAATTTCTGTGGGTGGTATTCAACTCAGTTCAACTCATGGTAGACCCAAAGAGCCCCCTGGTGAGAGGGTGTGGCCTGGGGGAGAATCTTTGCTTGGCCCCCACACCTGAGCCAGATGAGCAGCTGGTCTCACTCTGCATAAGGTACTTCCAGTGTTCAGCGCAGACATTTTGAACTGCAACAACAGGTCTGTTGAGGGTAATAGAACCAAAAAAAACTTGATGGAGAAGACTTGGCTCTCTTTTCTACAGTTTCCCCTATGCTAGTTAACGGGTTGTAATTTCAGGAGCATTCATAAAATGTGAGGTGGTTCTTACCGAATTAGCCCAACCACAGTGTGGCTCTTGCTCACCAAACCTTACATTTTTTTCCCTTCTCTGCCAGATATTTTGAAAAAGTTTAATCCAAACCTCTCTGGCTTCTCCACTGGCACCCAGAACGAAGCGGCTGGATTCAACGTAGCAGTAGGAGGAGCCACCGCACAGTAAGACACACTGGGACAAGGAAAAACTGCCGCGTTAAGCCTAAACTGTTGCCCCAAAGCTGAGGGTTTTTGCCAGGGTTTCGCCTCATCCCCTTCTAGGGTGTAAATCTGGTTAAGAATCCAAGGATAAAGTCTTGCTATAAAATCTTTTTGCAATATTGTACCTGTCTAAATACATTTGGCAACTCTAGCCTCTGAGGTCCTCAATCGATCACCTTTTGCCAAGCACTAAATTAACTGCAGAGGGAGTTAGAGGTGAGGTGGCACGGCTGTGAAATAGTGCAGAGCTTCCAAGTGCAGCCTTGAAAATTTAGAGCTTTAGCTCCGAATGCACTCTGTCAGAGCCAATCCTTCAACAAAAATAATCGATCTGAACTTCTCTGCTGTTTGGCTCGCATGCTAGGTGGTTGGCAGGCAAGTTGGCTGGTGGTGTCTTGAAGTTTGTGGTAGTCACCTGTGCAGACATTTTTTTAGGGAACTTAGGCTGTGTACACACCATACAATTAAAGCACATCCCCCCCTCCAAGATTCCTGGGAACTGCAGTTTGTTGCGAGTGCTGGTAATTGTGGCCTCAGTGAGAAGTCAACTACAATTCCCATGATTCCTGGGGGGGTTGCTTTAAATGCCTTATACTGCATTTGCTGTTCTTGATCATTCCTTTCCTTGTGCAGCTCTTACTGGTCGTGAAGTAGCATTTTATAAAGCGAGAGAGGGAGAGAAGCCTCCCAATTCCAAGTCTTAAATTAAGGATCCTGGAGGAACTCAGACTTTGCAAATTCCAAGATGACATTACCTGATCTAGCTCTCCACTAGATTTCTGCCCTTCCCCAGATGTTGTGACAGAGCTCTCAACAGCTTAAATATATCAAAACACTCATTCAAATACGTATTTTGAGAGAAACTGCACATTTAAACATGTATTAATACAGTAATAATAATAATCATCATCATCATCTATTATTTGTACCCCACCCATCTGGCTGGGTTTCCCCAGCCACTCTGGGCGGCTTCCACAAAGACCATAAATACACTAAGATATCACACATTAAAAACTTCCCTGAACAGGGCTGCCTTAAGATGTCTTCTGAATGTCAGGTAGTTGTTTATCTCTTTGACATCTGATGGGAGGGCATTTCACAGGGCGGGCGCCACTACTGAGAAGGCCCTTTGCCTGGTTCCCTGTAGCTTTGTTTCTCGCAATCAGGGAACCACCAGAAGGCCCTCGGCGGTGGACCTCAGCGTCCGGGCAGAACGCTGGGGGTGGAGACCCTCCTTCAGGTATACTGGGCTGAGGCTGTTTAGGTCTTTAAAGGTCAACACCAACACCGACAGATAATTGGAAATGTATGTTTAGAGGAAATTTATTCGTAAACATTGCAGCTCTATGTAGGTAGGATAAAAGCCACATGGATATGACACAGATCTGTCTTGCATATCTAACCCTCGACTTCCAAATACAATGGCACAATTGCCTAGTGGGCTAGAGTGGTACCCTTAGGAGTACAGCTATTACTGATGCTCCTTTTCAAACCGAGAGCCAGGGCAGTGCAGTTGCCCTAGGTTCAAATCACCACTCAGGCATTAAGTTCAGGGGAGGGCCAGTCATCATCTCTCAGCCTAGTCTACTTCCTGGAGCTTCTGTGAGGATAAGTCAGGGTTAAATAAAGCATACACACCACCCTGGGGTCCTTGAGGAAGTGCAGGATAAATAAATACATGTGTACACTTAACAGTAGGAAATCTGAGAGAGAGCTTACCTGAATTTTGCACAAGAGCTGAGAGTAAGTTTTGATTACATGCTGGCAACGGACAAGTGCAATGAAAAAGACTCACACAAGTGGTCTGCTTACATGAAGAGTGCGATGTTAAAACAGAGAACTCATGCAAAATCACGGCTCATATTTTTCTGAAAGAAAAATAGCGGCCTGCAGTGTTTTGTTTCATGGAAGAGCTGACACAATAGTTGTGGTTCCTCGACTACATTGCTCATGAGAGTAAATGGGTTGCATGAGAGGGTGTTTTTTGCTCATTTGTTTCGTCCTACTTGGCAGCTGGTGACTGATCAGAAATGACTCTCTGGGTCACAGCATGAACATCAACCAAGGACTCTCAGATCCTAGTTCTGTCCCGCAATGATGCTCCTTCTGTTGGTTGACTCCACTGAGCTTGCCATGAATGCTCTCCTTTTCTCTTTCCACAGGAATCTCCCAGCCCAAGCAAGAGGATTGGTAGCACGAATGAAAAACAGCCCAGTAAGTATCTGCATTACAGAAAACGAATGAAAAATCTGGCAGCTTGTAGAAACCACTGGGTAAGGAAGATACCTATAATATTGCTGAATGCAAGAATACAATAGTTGTGTTTAAGATGTTGGGTTATTATATTAAAAAAAACAACCCAGTCATCCTCTCTTGGTTAATATATTGCAATATATGTGTTTAAGCAGTGGGGGCAGGCATGAAAAAATTTCATCCTCTAGCCACCTAAACCAACTTATGCTATTTGTGCTATTTTAAAATATTGATGCTGATAATATTTAGCCTTGTGAACCATGTCCCAAGGACTAGGAGCCAAATCTTCCCCATCACAAGACATTGTATACAATCCATGTTGCAATTGTACCAAAACCAGAGATTATAGCACTGCTGCAAAATGCCCACAGAGCAAGTAGCTCATGATGAGTCCAGCAAAATGATCCAGGTTGCATGATAACAGGTCACACAAAGCCATCCCCTGATCAAACTGGTGTGACACAAGGGAGGTTCCTATCTAAATACAAAATACCAAGATCAAGCAGTCTCTGAATAAGAGTAAAGCTAAAGCCCATCCATTGGAGCCAACTCTTAGGGGCCATGAGGGCTTCGCCCCCTCATAAAATATTTGAGGAGGCTGCCCCCCACCAAATTGATGGGCATTGCCATTCAAATGGTGGGCATGCACCATGCCATGTGATTGATTTTGCAGGGTGGGGCTTACCTGCACCATCCCACCCCCAATATTTTATTTAAGTTGGCACCTCTGAGCCCATCCATTACACCTTCAGTGCAGTGCCAGGGGCTGGATCCATGCATCCTGCCACATGAATGGAAGGCACTAGGGATGGGAGAGAAATCTGATTGCGTTGGCATCAGGCGAATGAACCAGAACGTATCCGTCCTTCCAAATTCACACTTTCCCACATTTTGCAATCTTGTTCTTCATTCAAGTAATGTGTACAAACATCCAGTATATTAGGGGAAATAGCTTTATTAAATCTGTATAATAGGCAAAGTTGCATACAAAAATGTGTCTAGGAGGAGAAATTTGCACCAAAATGCTGATGAATTTTCATGTGGACTTTTTAATTTATTATTTTTTTAAAGCCGCCTTTGCTCAGCTATCTACACTGGTTGCCTATTTGCTACCAGCCCATGTTCAAGCTGTTGCTATTAGTATATAGAGCCCTTAACAACTTGGGACCAGTTTGGTTTTTGTGTGGGATTCACTTTACCCCATATATACCCACCTGACAGCTTCAATCTGTGGAACTGGCACCTTTGCAGGAACCGCATAACACCCATTCCACATTTGTAAGAAATCCATCTTTCAGTGCAGCAGCAAACTGTGCTTTGGAACTCCCTGCCTGTTGACATCAGGCAGGCAGGAACCTTCGCTTTCTTCCTCTTGGTGCCTGCTTAAAACAATTTTGCTTAGGCAAGCCTCCTGAGGCAGCTAGTGTTGATTTTAATCTTTTACAATATCTTAATACCCGTTTTAACTCTCTCTCTATATGTAATGTTAATATTTTGTTTTATATTGTTGCACAGAGCTTTGGGTTGTTTGCCTGTTTGCAATCCAGCAGTATATGCATTTTTGCTAAATAAGTAAATGGAATAACAGTGGAGCAGAGAATGCAGACCTGTACTGTGATGAGTGTTCAGTAGCTTCAAGACATGCAAAACGAGATGGCTCACCTCTGGAGGAGAGTCGGCTTCCAAGAGCAGATTGAGGAAATGTTTTTACCATGTGCATTTGTGCCCCATCTGGGTGCAATTCAAGTTAAGTGGTTATGACCAGGCAAGCCCTTTCTGGTTAGGGGCTTAATACACCTGTGAGGTTGCCTTTGTCCTTCTGTGGCATTAAACCTTCTTGAATAGACAGAAAACACCTTCTTAATATGATCTGTGCGCCAAGGAAGGGCATGAAATGCATGTGAAGACAGGTGTTCTCGGTGGCTGCCCCACATTTCTGGAACTTGTTCTCCCTGTAGGTCTGCCCGAGTGTCTTTTGAAAGCATTGCAAAACCTTTTTATGTTATTGAGGTTAGCTTTTGGTGGCTGAGCTCAGATGCAGAGGGAAAATGCAACCAGGGTGTATTAAATGTGTTATTACCAACCTGACTCCTTTTGCTTTGGGAGAGGAGCCATTGCAGGGAAGGGAGAGGAACTAGTGCCATCAAACTATTGATGGATCGTTTGGTGTGGGCTGGAAGACAAACAAAAACCACTGCTTTCCCAAACCTAGGTCTGTGTGACAGGTGCTGAGTGAGGGCTGACTTTGCTGTCAGTTGTTCTGCTCTTATTAGTTGCATTTAGTTGCATGTTCTTATTAGCTGCATTAGCTGCATACTGTGATAAGCAGAAAGGAGAATCCATTTCCTCTCTGCATTTCTGCATTTTTCCTGCTCTCTCTCTCTCTCTCTCTCTCTCTCTCTCACACACACACACACACACACACACACACACACACACAAAAACACATACCAGCCGAGTGGAAGCACTGACATTTAAGCAAAAGTCAGAGCAGCTCCTAGGTTTCAGGGACCATGATCCTGGCCTTCTGAAATCAGAGAGGGAATGATGTCAAACACCCCCGGGCACCTCTTTGAAGCAAACGTGAAGTGAAGTCAAGGGCCAGGAAAACAAATCCTATTAATGACGAGAATTCAGCCCTGTTTGTGATTCCCAGGCCTTTGGTTTCCTTAGGACACATTCACCAATGCTTGTTATGTAAACTTGCTGCTCTAAAAATAGCCACCATCCATTCCTTTCTTTGTACTGCATGTTACAGAATGTTTTCCACTGAGTTACAGCTCTCAGCAGCCCCTATTGTTGGCTGGCAATGACGTAGGTTGAAGCAGCTGCTGGCCTTGGCTAAGCACAGCGAAGTCACCTATCTGAGGGCTCCTTCTCTCTATCCAAATGTCCACTCTTCTGGGCATTCCCTTCCTTTTTTTTTCCAACAGTCCTGGTAACTTGTCGCTGTCAGGGATTCTCACTGACTCCAGCTACTAACAACTAGCATTCGGTGCATCATTGTGGAAAATGTTCTTTGTCTCTCATGCTTGCCTGTGTACAAGTGCCAAGGGCTTGCGGTCCCAGTTACACCCCTCAGCTCCAAAGTCCATTAGGAATAGAAAGCCTCCTGTGTCACAGAAGCCCAGATGCAGCTTAGATGATCACACTCCAGGGCAGCTGCCAATTTCTCCCCTGGCTTTTATTCCCTCTCTCTCTCTCTCTCTCTCTCTCTCCTCTCCGTTATTCAGTCTGACCCACCAATGAAAGACTTTGGATTTCAGACAGCAAAGGGGGACTGTGTGTGAGAGAGGGGGGGGGGAGAGAGACATTGCTGCTATTCTCTAGTATTTGTCCCATTAGGCAAACCCTTTCATGTGGTCATGATCATGCAACAAGTTCAGCTCAAATACCTAATACCCTCCGTTGGGCATGCAATACTTTCATGCCCTTGAAAAAAGCTGTCACAAAGACAGCCTAGGCATGGTGGCATTTCAAACAATGAGGATAGCATGCCATTGCAATTGCTATGTGTGACATGAGAAATATGGGATTGTGAATTTACTCTCAAATGGCCTTTCCCATGGAGATGGACTGCGTGTGTACGTGCTTTGGCTTGACTTTCTGCAGCCTCAAGCAATGCCTGTAACAATTCCACAGCAGGTGAGCAGGGAGACGACTCCAGCAGTTCCAGAGAGTGGAATCGATGGGATCCTGAGCAAGTCACATCACTCATTACTCTCTTTGCTCCTCCGAACATCCGTGAACTACTCTGATATTGTAGTGTTTTTGTTTCTCACCAGAGCATCAACTATCAGGAGGACTGGAAGCTAGTCACCATTTTCATTGGAGGCAATGACCTTTGTAACTATTGCTTAGACAAGGTATGAAAGCTGCAGCTGGCTTGGTTTGAAAACAATAGTATTTCCTGTCACTTTTTATTTGAAATGAGCATTTTGTGTCCTGATTGCAGCCCCAGTCCTCAAAGCTGGTGATTGGCTCTAGTGACCTTCCATAAAAGAGTTTTGCCATCCAAATGGAAAACAACTAAGCCAGCCATTGGGGGAATAATAATAATAATCCATGTGCTGAGCTAATAAGTATTAAAACTATAGTTCCCAGTGCCCCCAGAAATACAATGGAGTATTTTGGAAATACAAAATACTTCTGAATACACTTTTTAATTGGGAGTTGGGACATAGTGAGGTAGATTTGGAGGAGGAGGGAATACCAGTTTTTTTCTGATAATTCTATTCAATTTTTTGAAAGACTCAGTCCCATTCTGAATTAAGTTTACCTGTGACATCAATAAAAATGAGTGAAACCAGGACGCCCCTATGCCCTCACAATGTTGTGCCACTTTAAAAGGCCCCCTTCCCCATTTATGAGAAACCTATATGAATTCCAATTATAACATTCAAGATTATGAACTTGAATTCAAAATTCTGAGTGATTTCCCCTTTTTAAAAAAAATCACGTTTCTGGATGAAAGTTTTGAAGCTGCATTTGGAATCTTGTTACAAATAGTGGGCTCGATTTCAGCTCTTGAATTATGTCTACATCCAGTGTTTGGATGCAGAGTATCAAAACAGGCTCTCCCAATCCAGCTCTTCCTGATTAACAGATTCAGGCATCAGTTGTTTGTTTTTAATTCAGCTGGACTGGTAATTTAAGAATCGCGTCCAAACGCCATGTGTGCTGAGTAAGTCAAATGCATGCTGCAACTGGGAAACAATTCTGCAATACTTCCTTCTAAATATATCAAGATTTTGCTAGCGCAAATTATATCCTCATATCAGTCTCCTTCAAGTCAAGCTATTCCATAGACCTCTCTGGTTTTGGGTGTGTGGGGATGGATTTATCTGCAACTTTTCATGCAATACTGAAAATGGATAACTGAGTGTTTCATTTTCTTCAGGAGACCTATTCAGTGGACAGATATGTTGAACACCTCCAGGACACCCTTGATATCCTTTACAAGGAGGTAAGACTTTAAGACACTCTAGAAGGCTGAGTTCTTGGCAACTGCACTTAAACATTTCTCACCCCTCGCAGAGTTTCCATGATCATGTTTCATTCAGGACCTTCTTTCAGATAGCTGGCACTGGTGCAGTCATATTTGAAGGGTAATCCAATGACCTTGATAGCTAATGACCAGGAAAGCGGTGAGATTCTACTATGGTTAACATGGTTGCATTTTATAAGGTTTTCTTCACTTTTCTCAACGTGGAGCCTGCCCCTAAAGCCCTCTGCAGCAGGAAGATGCTGCTGCCTCAACAGCAGGCAGCAGCTTTGTCTACCGTGCTGATGGATGTACTGTCCAGCCTCCCCAATTCTTTATCTGCCCTGACTTAGGGATATTTGTGCAGCAGAGGAGGAAAGGAGATGGGTGGATAAAACATGATAACAAGCTTGCCTAGCGTCTGCAACACTCCCAACTTCTTTCTTTCTTTCTTTCTTTCTTTCTTTCTTTCTTTCTTTCTTTCTTTCCAGTGTGGTGTAGTGGTTAATAGCGGTAGATTCGTAATCTGGGGAACCGGGTTCGCATCTCCGCTCCTCCACATGCAGCTGCTGGGTGACCTTGGGCTAGTCACACTTCTCTGAAGTCTCTCAGCCCCACTCACCTCACAGAGTGTTTGTTGTGGGGGAGGAAGGGAAAGGAGAATGTTAGCCACTTTGAGACTCCTTTGGGTAGTGATAAAGCAGGATATCAAATCCAAACTCTTCTTCTTCTTTTCTTTCTTTCTTTCTTTCTTTCTTTCTTTCTTTCTTTCTTTCTTTCTTTCATTTGTTACTCACTTTATTTTGCCCAGGACAACCCAACGCAACTTTAAGTAAACAACTTCCCCACCCCATGTAGATACATTAATACCAAGGAGGAAAAGCAACACATTAAAAACATCTCACCCACTTCTAAAAAGCCACATGTAGTTAATGGTTAAAGGCCTGGTTATAAGGGAAACTTTTTGCCTGGCGCATAAAGATAGGCAGTGAAGGTGCCAGGCAGGCCTCGCTGGGTAGAACATTCCACAAATGGGGAGCTGCTCCATGGCGCCTTCTGGACTTTTCATGGAAGGGGCACACGAAAAAGAGCTTCAGATGTTGATTGCACGGTCCGGGTTCGTTCATGCTGAGCAAAATCACAGATTAATTTTCAGTCTGGGAGGGGGCAACTCCCAGCGTAACCGTAAGTTGCTACAGAGTGAAGTTGCTCTGTTTTCCCCTTACATTGCCTCGGGCACAGTATGTAGCATCAAAGTTTGGAATAAAGATCTATGGGTTGCCACAAGTATGCAGTCAAGCCCTGGCTCTCCAATGATGAAGCTTTATTGAGATGAAGGATGAAGATAAAACGAATGAAAGGGGAAAGTTAGAATGAAAGAAACAAAACCATTTGCATCTGTGGGGGCTGGGAGGGCAGAAGGCAGCAGGTGGAACTAGTGCCAATGCAAGCAGAGGCAGTTAATTCTACTTTTGTCACCCCTACCCCCCCTCCTTTGTGCTGAGTTCTACAAGGGCAACACTGAGGCTAAGGGGAAGGAAGCTGCCAGGCAGTCCCACCCCCTGAACTAGTTGTAAGCAGACAAGGCACGTGGGGACTGGCTGAGGGCAGGCTGAAGTTGACACAGCAGTGCCCCATTGCCCAAATGAAAAGCCTCCACTGGTTAAGTAACCTCAGCTAGTTATTGAAATTGGTGGCCCAGAGTCTCCTGGGTATTTTATTCATTTTTTATTTAATAAATCTGTTTGCTGCCTGTCAAAATGAAGCAGTTTCCGAAGGTGGCATGCAAGTCTTATCAAAGAAGCTAAAGGCATACGATAAAACACTATGCTGCGATAAGCAGGAAGAATTAAACGGTGACATCCACTTCAGCCACCCAACAGAGAGTAAAACAGACACCTAATCTACACCTTCAGAAATATTGTTTTAAGACAACCAGAAGTGCGCCAATCCTATTTCGCGACAGGAGGAGTGCCACCGTTTGGGGGTCACCACTGAAAGACCACTGTCTCCCAGGCCTGCCGACCTAATCTCGCTTCAGGAAGGGCACTTGAGGGTTAGTTCCACAGCAGCTGGCAAAGGCTCATGGGAGTTGTAGTCCAAAGCATCTGTAGGGGTTCAAGGTTAGAGAAGGCTGCTTTGGAGCAAAGGTGAGCAACCTTTTTCGCCCCTGAGGCCCACAAGTAGCAGTGGGTAAGTGCTTGTGGACCGCATGCCAGCGGTCTGGGCATTCACACATATATGCAAACAAATATATGCAAACCTACCCTTTGAAATCAGGGAAAGGTGGCTGTCACCAGTGTGGTCCTTGCTCTCAGAAGAGGCTTTCAGAGCTCAACTTTTAGGAGGATAAAAGGCCCCTTGGACGCAGGATGGTGTAGACTATCATCTGCCAAGCAGCTGTTAAGTGGGTTGAGGATGGCATAATTTACATTGCGGGGGGGGGGGAGGGAAGGTGTACAGGGAGGGTCATCTCCAAACCCCCACTTCTTGTAAATTATGCCCCTTGCAGCCTCCCAAACAGCTGTCTGGTGGTCTGAAGGAAACACAGGACACAAGGTGATTTTACTAGTGGCAGAGGTGACAGCAACTCCCGGTGGACCACACAGAACTTCTGTAGTCTATAGGCTGTTGATTTCCCACCTGTGGTAGAGGCTTGTGGCAAAGTCATGCACATTTCTTTGCTTGCCATAAACAATTACTGCACAAACGCCATTGCACATCTAGCTTGACGTTGCATCAAGCTGGCTAACGGTGCCAGCCTGCAGTTATAGCTATAAAGTTTATCGCACCAACATAATATTTTTCTTTCATTGCCACTGGCCCTCTGTACATTTCCTTTCCTATTGCATGAAAACCAGATGCTCTCACGACTACTGATCTGTGCATAACCTCTCTGTGTTGCTGTTTGGCTCTGCCTTCTGCTCTGTGCATCAATGTACCTGGTTACTGTAATCCCTGCAGCTCCCTCGGGCTTTTGTCAACATGGTGGAGATAATGGAACTCACTGGACTGCGTCAGATAGAAAGGGAAGCATCCGGATGTGTTCTTTCAGGGGCGTAAGTGAGCGGATCGCACAGCAATCTGTATTGTATGCTATTTTTAGGGCCGATCTATACTTTTGTTATTCATAAAGCAACCGCAAAGAGCTTAAAAAACCTGTTCCCTGCAAGATGCTATTGGACCTGGGAGCTGTGAGGCAGCAGATGCTCTAATTATAATGAGGATATTGGGTCTGGTTTTTCCCTTTACTCACATGAGAGCAATCTTCATTGATTTCCATTAGAGCTGCAGCCATTTAAGAGAGTAGCTTTGGGCTTCTTGTTTTCTGTACGGATATTTATAACAAGGTAGACAGTGATTCACAAAGTCTGGCTGATGCTGCATCTCTTGTGTTAAGCCAATTTGGGACGTGTGTTAATCTGGAGTCCATTTGTGTGCGCTAAACATGTCACAAAAATCCCTGTCCACTGCATGGAAGTGTGGGTGTCTTTCCCATCTGGACAGTGTCATTGTCTACCCAACTATAAAGAGGGTTTGGAATACCAGAATCCAAAGGTCCAAACTGTAGAATCCAGGAGCTCTTATATCCCAAATAAGAATCATGCCTCTAGGCCAGCCTTCCCCAACTTGGTGCCCTCCAGATGTTTTGGGCTACAGTTTCCATCAGCCCCTGCATCATGGCCAATGCTGGCTAGGGCTGCAATCCAAAAATTCTGGAGGGCTCCAGGCTGGGGGAGGTTTCTGTAAACCAACAAGCGAGGCAAAAGTCCCGGGCAGCAGTGGGATTAGAACCTAAGGCCACATCGACATCATATATCTAAAGCACATTTATACAACACCTTAGCAGCCTTTGAGAAAGAATCCTGGAAACTGCAGCTTATGCCTAAGAGAGCTACAATTCCCAGACCCTTAGCAAACTACAGCTCCCAGAATTATTTTGGGTAAGCCATGTGCACATGTGTGTATGCATATATATAGGACCACAGGCTTAAGCACCATATTCTGATGTGTCTGTTATTAGGCCATGGAAGAAATGTATTTTTAAAATCCAAGGCATAGGCTTTTGTATTCTTTGGTTCCACAAACATAACCACAAGGGTGGTGAACCCATGGGCCTCCAGATGTTGTTGGACTCTGGTTCCTTTTGGTATCCACAGCCAGTATGGCCAATGGTCAGGGACGATGGGAATCATAGTCAAACAACATTTCCCAAGCCCTAATCTAATACTGTACATTCTTTCTAAGCTATTTTAAATCAAATCATTTTGTTACCTGCACTATTGCAGGGGGTTGGACTAGGATTCTGTGCTATCTAGGATCTGTGTTTATTTTAGCATCCCTCTCTTTCAGGAGCCTTTGCCCGTGTTTTCTAAACCCCCAGGAAAACTCCCCTGAACTACAGGAAATGAAAAGAATTAACAGAGATTTTCAGGTAAAGCAAGCACTTCCTTTCTTACTGATTTCAAGGGGAGGAATTTAACATCATGCTCTTCCGATTATTCTGCCAGCCCAAGCATTTTGGCTTGCCGGACAGAACGATCCCTCCTCTCCCCTCCCCACACTTTTCCAGGGGTTTCTTCCAACCCACCCCCAACCCAATTTTGGGAGGGTGAGGGAAGAACCAGTGCACAAGTAGCAATCTCCGTACAGAGCTTCCACTGACGAGACTCCTTAGCTGAATCCCACTCAAGATCCTTGCACCCCTCCTGTAGAAGTCAAGCCTACATATTAATAGTGGACTCATTCTCTGAGTGTGGATCCATATGTAGCTAAAGCAGCATCACCCACAAGAAGAAGAAAAAGTGTCAGCAGGCTTGGAGAAACCCCAAGGTCTGCAGAACTACACACACACACACACACACTCCAAGGGAAGGAACCTGAAACAGCCCAATGAGGACCAAGTGTGTTCAGATGCTACAGAATGTTGGCTGGGTATTTGAGGTTGGGTGGAGTGGAAAATGCAGTGGTTGACTGATGCCCAAGGGAACTAGTAGGGCAGAAAGGAGGGAGACCATCAGTAGGTGGAGCCAGGGTCAACAACAGGCCGAGCCAACTAGTTTTGTTCTGTCCTCCTCGCTGTAGAGTTTTTTTTACAAGGGCAACATGAAGACGAAGGAGGAGGGAACTGACAGGAAAAGCCACTCCCTGGGCTAGATGCAAGGGAGAAGGCAGGACATGTGGTGGGCTGCCTGAAGGCAGGCTGAGAGTTGGTGGGGCCTAACAGACCAGCCTCCCCTCAGAAAAAGGCAGAGCTGACTGGAACCCTGAAGAGGAAGGCCACATTTTGTTGGCTTGATTTGGTGCTGAGAGTACCTGAGAGCGATTGCTTGTTTCAGCTGGCGTTGGTGATGTCATCTGTTTTCCCACATAAATCCACTCTCTTGCATTTCACGTTGTGCCTGGAGCTCAGTGACTCATCCTTGCCTCTTCTTCACCTCTTCTGTCTTATGTATTTATTTGTGTTGTGTGTTTATCTGTTATGTGTTCCCCCACTGTCTGAGGCACAGTGGGAAGCAGTGAAGTCTTTTAGCCTTCTTGATGCTCATGCCCTCCTAATGGGAATCCCTGCTCAAGGAAACTCAGCCTCAGCCTCTCTGCTTTTCCATTTTTAGGAGTTCTTTTCTGGGCAGTTCTTTCTTGGGAGCCATCTGGCATTCCTGGTTACAGCTGGAGACAGCTCCTGAGCTGAACTGGAGCAGTTTTACTCCCTGCCAACTAATTTCTCTTGATTGTTTTACTCGTTGACAGTGCTGGGGTTTTGTAGTTTTATAAGGATGGCTTTATTATTTTAATGATTTTTTTTTTGTTGTAAATTAAGAACATAACAGAGTCTGCTCAGTCAAAAAGACCTATTTAGTCCAGCATCCTGTTCTTACAGTGGCCAACCAGATGCCTGTGAGAAGCCTGAAAACAGGACCTGAGTGCAACATCACTCCCCTCACTTGTAATTCCCAGGAGTATTTCAGATTCATACAGTGGTACCTCTGGTTGCAAACGGGATCCATTCCGGAGCCCCGTTCACAATCTGAGCAGAACACAACCCGCATCTGCACGTGTGCGGGTTGTGATTCGCCACTTCTGCGCATGTGTGTGACGTCAAGTTGAGTGTCTGCGTGAGCGGCGAAACCCAGAAGTAACCCGTTCCGTTACTTCCGGGTCGCCGCGGGACGCAACCTGAAAAAATTAACCTGAAGCAAACATAACAAGAGGTATGACTGTACTGACAATGTGGTTTGTGGGGGGTAGTACATAGTCATTGTGGCTGATAGCCATTGATAGCCTTAATTTCCTTCAGGAGGCTTGCTGGGAACCAGTATAGAGATTTGAGAAATGGTGGCAATAATAGCAAGTTGGGTTTCTAAGCCTACCCTATGATTTGTAAGGATCTATCTCCTTTTCTTTATCCTCGCAAGAGCTCTGTGAAGCGGGTATTCCTGCCATCTGACTGTCTCAGGACATAAGCTCAGCTAGTGTGACTTCCACATTGACCTTTAATGGGGTAGCTGTATTGCCCTTACTGTACTTTGTCACTTCTTCTCCCCTGCACTTGGCACTCGTCCCTTTTAGTCCGTCTGGTCTGAGTCAATACTTGTATACTGGAGGGGAAAGAGCTAAGGGAGTCCCCATGTCAACGCTGACCTTGTCGTTGTGTACTTCCCAAACAGGAGAGAAGCGCAAAGATGGTCAACAGCTATGCGGAACGGGAGGATTTTGCCGTTGTTGTGCAGCCGTTTTTCCGAAACACCATCATGCCACTAGACAGTGTGAGTCACCGTTTGCTACCTGCAGCATTCAAAGCAGTGTTCCAGGATTTGTTCTAGATGACAAGATATACAGGCTGAGGATTGCATCATCCTTACAACCATGTAGCGTTGCAAGGGAAACTGAAAAATAGACAGACAGATAGAACAGTCAGTTCCCACCATCCTGGCTCTGTGTACCATCCTAGAGGCAATTGGGAGCCAATACTGCTGATAGGATTACAGGCTCCCAGAACATATAGCAATAAATGAATTGGACCACTTCTGGTTTTCAAAATGCATACAAGAACCGGCACCAGATCCAGACCCCAGAGTGTCTAAAGGCCATTTGTCACTCACATATAACTGATATGATACATGCCACACGACCACATCTGACTATTCACACAAGCAGAAACAAATAAATCATTCCTCTAATTCATGGGTAGGCAAAGTAAGACCTGGGGGCCAGATCCAGCCCAAAGGCTTTCTAAATCTGGCCCGCAGATGGTCCGGGAATCAGTGTGTTTTTACATGAGTAGAATGTGTCCTTTTACTCAAAATGCATCTCTGGGTTATTTGTGGGGCATAGGAATTCATTTATTTTTTTCAAAATATAGTCTGGCCCCCACATGGTCTGAGGGACAGTGGACCGGCCCCCTGCTGAAAAAGTTTGCTGATCCCTGCTCTAATTGTTCAAAACAGAAAAGGCCTTTAGGGGGAAAGGGAAAGGAGAGCTGTGTAAAAGGTTGGTGCCAGGTCCAGAGAAATGATAGGTGGGCACGTATCGAAAGTAACTTTTTGAAATTGTTGCAGTGCTGACATTGTCTTAGGACTGCTTCCTAGATGCATCTCTATCTCAACATCTCATTGCCGCACAATCTATCAACCGATGAATCAGAGCTGAAACTGTGAACGGCCTCTAAAATTTGAGGAGACAGCAAATGTTATGAAAGCTCTGCTTTGGTGATTAATCTGTGATTCCGCACACCATTTTGCATGCTAGTCTTCACTCGAGGCTGCAGGCATTGAGAGATGAAGGGGGAAAGGAAATTTCAGAAGTGCACACACACCAGTTTATTGGGGCCCAAGGCTACTTAACCAGATAAAACAATGAAGAGACGTGTGGCACAATAATTATTACTATATTTACTGTATTTACTGTATAAGCTTCTGTAGACTAGAGTCCACCATCGGAGCCCACTTCTGAAGAAGCATATAAGACTATCTAAGCAGTTTGTCTGAAGAAACTGGTTTAGCTTCTCCTGCAGAAGAAACTATGGACTTGAAAAGCATCGAGCCCTACTTAACTGGTTTCTATGCACCCTTGAAGTCTCCCCATCTTTTCATTTATGTATAGATGCCTTTTCTTCATCTCTTCTTTGGTCACATGTATGTGTGAACTAACCATTATGGCTTGCGCTTCCAAAAAATCTATAACATCATTTGATAATGTTTCCCATTCTAAGGAAGAGGCTCCTTCGCTCTCCAGTCTAGAACTCTGTGTATGTCACAGTGCGCTCAGTCCATGTTATTACTGCTTTTGCAGCCCTTCCCTGTTTGCAGCAAAGAATTATGCCCATTCACTGAAACAAATAGCTTATTTGCAGGTTGGGGAATTATGTCCTTGCATCAGAGTCACTGTGTCCTCCTCCCAAGGGCATCAGAATGTTGAAAGGACCTGGAGGCGAGATGTTCCGTTGATATTGCTGATTGCTGCTTATACGAGGCATAAAAGTAACCATTATTATACTGCCTTTTCAATCTAACAGCATTTAAAGTTGTAGAAAGCATGTACTGACATCCCTGTCGATAGTTGACTTAGTCGATTTTTGCACATTATGCCAAAAAAATAAAAAAAAATCTATACCTAGCTGGTGGTTGCTGCAGGAGTGTATTAAACACAAAAACAAACCATGTGACTTCTTTTGAGAGGCAGAATTTGACTGTTGATTGGCTCGGCACCAGGAGACAATGGGCCAAAAAAATACACGTGAAATGCCAGAGCCTGACTAGTGAGCGATAAAATCTATTCTGAAGATTAATAATTGTATTTTGTACTAAATCACAGGACGGGAAGCCAGACCTGAGTTTCTTTGCAGTGGATTGCTTTCATTTCTCGGAGAGAGGCCATGCAGAGATGGCCATAGCACTCTGGAATAATATGGTAAGAGGGTGGCTGTATGAATTCAAACATACTTGGTGGTACAGAAACCTCATATATGGGGGGTGTGGAACAGCCTATTTACTTTCCCTACCAGTTTCACATGGGCTTATTGTCATAGGTCCATTCTGTCCTGTTTTACTAAAGATTGAAAACACACATGGAAAAACTGTGTGTAAATTATGCACAGTTTGTAACAACAACAACAATAATAATTTTATTATTTATACCCCGCCCGTCTGGCTGAGTTGCCCTAGCCACATTTGCATGCATTTTCTTTCCTAAAATACGCATTTGTGTATTTTCCTCAATGCATTTTCCCATACAATGCAACTTTTTTGTCCACATTTTGTAGAACCGAAAAGGTCCCAGAACCTCCAAAGGCAGCAGTTTGCTTTAAAAAGCGGTCTGGATTAATTTCTCCTCTATCCTAGAGACACAGCTGTCCACTTTTCCCTTTTCTTGCATGGAATCCTATTCGGAATAAGGGAATTTCCCTTTAAAAAAAGGGAAATGTTGACAGCTATGCCTAGAGATGGCAACTAGCTGTAGTTACTGACTGATAATGGAATACATTCTGCAGATGCTTGCAGGATTGTGCAGAGTTTAAAGATTATTATGATTTTATAATCAGTTTATTATTCGGAACAAGTTCAGTGGCTGCTGTTTGGCTCACATTCATCCTTTAACATATATAAAACACTTATTGCTGTTGCTGCATCAACAAGGACCCACTTTCCTGTGTGATTTGTCTCAAGGCACCATTCATAATTCTGGAAATAGAATGTTGATGCCTTCCTGCTGAAGCGATGTAATGTTTAGAAGTCCTCTTCATGTTTTCCTATGAGTTCTAGCCTATTAGAACCTGAAGCAGTTCCATCCCAGGGTTGGTTTGTTGTTTCTGTGCTTGCTGCGATCCCAGTAACAGCAGCTGTATAGATGGACACTATACAATAAGCACAGTGTGTAGCTGAGGCTTCCCCAGCCTGGTGCCTCCAGATGTTTTGAACAGCTACTGCCACCAGCTCCAGCTAACATGGCCTATTTCAGGTTGGGGGGAGGCAGGTGTGGTTTGACCCTCAGCCTTCCCAGGAGGTGGCAACATCCTCCTTGGCACTTACTCCACTACAACAATAGCAGCAATAACAAACGTTACTCTAGAACAGGCTTTCCCAAACTTGGCTCTCCAACTGGTTTTGGACTACAACTCCCATCATCCCTAGCTAGCAGGACCCATTGGTCAGGGATGATGGGAGTTGTAGTGCAAAACCAACTGGAGAACCAAGTTAGGGAAACCCTGCTCTACAATGCTGAACCCAAGAGAGAGAGACAGAAATCAGCCCAAACTCACACCCAACATCATAACCCAGCCTGCTCCAAGCCTTTTAAGGCTCCTATGACTTCCTGCAGGTTTTTGCTGCAGTTTCTTCTGGTACTCGGCAACAGCTCCCTGCCACCCTTAATACTCCAAAATAGGGTACTTACGCAGCTTAGGAGGTGGGGCTTTGCAAATGAAGGTGGTCTCAGGAAAGACACCCATTCTCCTTACCTGCCACTAGGTGGCAAAATCCAGTAAGGCTAAACCGAACGCTTGCAATGGTTTTGCAAAGTTACAAATCCTTATATGGTCCTTAGGGGTGAGATAATGGTGCTGTTTTTCTCTTACAAACCCCAAACAACCTGGGACCAGAGTACCTTAGTCTAGGAATGTCATATGACGGACTGATAGCCCCTGGCAAGTTATTTCCTTCATTGCCTATAAAGGAGTGGTCAGAGCATTACCCTCATTTTTTTAAATTAAGAGATGGCCTAGCAGGTGACCATAGCAAGAGCAATGTCATGACCCTCCAGCAAGCTTCATTCCAGGCATGACTGGTAGAAAGTGTTGCCTTGAACAGGAGGAGAATGGTACGTGGCCCCTTTAACCAGCACTTGAGGCCAAATTGCCCCTCAAGCAAATCTGGTTGCTATGTCACCTCGGCCTTTGCCAAACTGGTTCCTTCCAGATGTTAAACTACAACTCCCATCATCCCTGCCTATTGGCCATGCTGGCTGAGGCGGGTGGGAGCTGGGATCGGGGCCACAAAAGAGCTATAAGCAGAGTTTTTTATTTGCTTTTTGAGGAAGCCACGCTACCAGAAACAGAGTGTGTTTTCCCACCAGATGTGGAATAACAAAGTCATATTCCTAGTTCCTGGGTTTTAGAATTGCCTCACGGCTAGCAATCTCATACAGTTCTGACCTTAGGTCAGAAGAGTTGTGCTGATCTCCTCTCTGTTTCAGGGTTCTTGTTTAACTTTCTTGATTTGCCAGTGTGGTTCACCTTCCTAGACTAGCGAGGACCTTTTTCTTTGCTGGAGTAGAGGAATGAGAGCTCAGAGCGCTTTTAATTTATCTGCCTCCTCGCCTGAGGTTTTTCTGGGTCAGGGAATGTTGGAGTCTCCAGTGGAATTCTTGCCATCGCCCTGCCAGCAAAGGCTGCAAAGGGAGGCTGCCAAATCAGCGCATTCTCAGCTGCTCCAGCCAGCCACTTTTCTGGCCTTCCCAGGATTTTTAAGCTGTTCTGTTCTCTGTCAATGTACCATGTTGTCTCCCCTGGGAAGGGTTTGTGCCTGCAGGAGTCCTCTGTGCCAAAAAAACACAGGGTGTGCATGCCAGTCTGCTTTGCTCAGCTACGTTCAAAATAAAGATGAGACCTACTGTGATCTAATGGATGCAGAGGCAGGGAAATCTGAATTGGGAAGCTACTTTATATTGAGTAAGGATATTGGTCCATTTGTTTCAATATATTAGCTCGGTATTTTATACAGTGACTGGAAGCAGCTCTCCAGAGTTTCAAACAGGAATCATCCCAGTTCTGTCTGGAGATCTCATGGATTGGCTTTGGACATTTTTTTTTATACAAAGCATGAGCTGTATACAGTCTTACCTTGGAAGTCAAACGTTTTGGCTCCTGAATGTCGCAAGCCCAGAAGAGAGTGTTCTAGTTTGTGAACTATTTTTGGAAGCCAAATGTCCAATGGGCCTTCTGCGGCTTCCAATTAGTTGCAGGAGCTTCCTGCAGCCAATCAGAAGCCGCGCTTTGGTTTTTGAACATTTTGGATGTCAAACGGACTTCTGGAATGGATTCTGTTCGACTTCCAAGGTACAACTGTACTGAACTATTGAGCTAAGGCACTTTCAAACTGCCACGATTTTGCAGGTGGGATCAAATCACATACTGGAAAATTCAGGTTGTGCAATTAATGTGGATTTGGCACTCTCACTCGACAAACCTGCTTTTTTAAAAAGTGGGTTTTTTAAATATGGAAAGCTATAGGGAAATGCACTGGAATGAGTGACAACAATTGCTTGATGCAATGCTGTGCAGTAAATCCTCCAAAGAAATCAGTACGAATGTGTATTGCCTTACGTGACCAAGTCTCTGTTCACCTAAGAAATCACTGAGTAGTCTAGACCTATTGGTCTAGAGCAAGGGTGGGCAACCTGGGTGGGCCCTCCAGGCATTGCTGGACTACAACTCTCATCATATCTGACCCACGGGGCTAGATAGGGCTGATGGGAGTTAGAATCCAACAATATCTGAGGGACCACTGGTTGTCCATCCCGGAGGTAGAGCAACTTGGAGGAGGAGCAAAAACTCTACCCTGCTGTGCAATTTCTTATAGTACCACAGTGCAGCCAGGCTTCAAGTCAAGTCCGCAGGGCTCCAGTGAAAACATGCTAAATGGTTCTTGGGGAGGAAGAAGCAAATAGGTGGGTAGGTAGCTGGTCTCCCGACTAGGGTTCTTGCAAACGTGCATTTCCTATGTGCCTGGGAGTACTCTTGGCAGCACTCTGTGTGTTCAGCCAACTTAGAACTGCACCCTAAAAAGGGCAGATAAAACTGGCTATATCCCCGTGCTTGGCATGGTTAACTTAATCTCCCATTTACAGTGCAACCCTGTTGGACAGGCTGTCCAAACATTGTGGCTTGCCCACAGTATAAGTGTGTAACTTCTGGATTGCAGATCTATCCAGAATAACCTTCTGGATAACAGCCAGCACACCCCAACATTTCTGGCCAGCTCTGAAAGGCTAGGAATAACACTGCAATCCTTGCCTGGAAGCAAATCCCATTGAAATGAGAATCAGGTTGCACAGATCTAATCTTTTCTCATCCCTCTTGAGTCCATTAGGTTTCACCTGCATAAAATTCGCTTCCAGAGGACTACATTAGCTGCCACGTATTGAGGCCCTTCACTATACATTTGATATTTCATCCTATTAATTTCCCTCTTCCCATGAACTCTATAGAAGCTATAAAAGGCTGCTTTTATGCATTGGAACTTAAGACATAGATTACATTTCCGCAGGGTTTTTATAGCCTCCTGTCATGACCTTAAGACAGGGTGCTTAACATTTTTTAAAAATCTTATTCTGTACCTGTAGAAAGAAGCTGGCACTTTCCAAGCCATAATTGTATAATACTGTATAGCAGAATACAGAGCAGTAATATATACAATACTATAATAATGCAGTAGGTATAATGATTGAGCACTACAATTTAATGGTGATATTTTATTAGTGTGGGTTTTGTGGTGTATTATAACATACCCAGTTCCATGAAAATATAGAATTACGATTCAGGGGTGAATTATTTGTCCTTTTTTCTTTCAGCTGGAGCCAGTTGATCATAAGCAGTCATACAATAACTTCACGTATGATCGGTCGAAACTCAAGTGCCCAACCTCGGTAAGTAACAAAGGTGTGCAGAAACACCTAGCCCCATAGCACAGACATAGGAAGAGCCCTCCTGAATCAAGAGATGGGGCCTATGCAATCCCATGTCCGGCTTCCCCACAACAAAACAAGCTCTTCTCACTTTCGATTCATTGCATTCCTTCTGAAATAACTTTTAAATGGCTTAAAATGTGCCATCCCCCTTTATAGGGATGAAAGCAATCCGGTTGCCCAAACAGAACTAGATAGTAAAAGAGGCAAGAGCCCAGGACATGAAGCAAGATTCTTTGGGATTCAGAATTGCACCAGTCCTGATGCTGCTGCTAATGATGCTAACGGCTAGATTAAGACCTTTAGAGGCCCTAAGTGTTTTGGTGCCCTCATATATATCTAATTCAAAATATAAACAATGATTAACTGTATATTATTAACAAAATAAAAAAATTCCTTCTAGTAGCACCTTAGAGACCAACTAAGTGTGTTATTGGTTTGAGGTTTCGTGTGCATGCACACTTCTGAAGAAGTGGTATCTGAAGAAGTGTGCATGCACACAAAAGCTCATACCGATAACAAACTTAGTTAGGTTAATTTAATCTCCCATTTACAGTACAACCCTGTTGGACAGGCTGTCCAAACATCATGGCTTGCACACAGCATAAATGTGTAACTTCTGGATCACAGATCTATCCAGAATAACCTTCTGGACCAACTTAGTTGGTCTCTAAGGTGCTACTTAGGGACGCGGGTGGCGCTGTGGGTAAAAGCCTCAGCGCCTAGGGCTTGCCGATCGAAAGGTCGGCGGTTCGAATCCCCGCGGCGGGGTGCGCTCCCGTTGCTCGGTCCCAGCGCCTGCCAACCTAGCAGTTCGAAAGCACCCCCGGGTGGAAGTAGATAAATAGGGACCGCTTTCTAGCGGGAAGGTAAACGGCGTTTCCGTGTGCGGCTCTGGCTCGCCAGAGCAGCAATGTCACGCTGGCCACGTGACCCGGAAGTGTCTCCAGACAGCGCTGGCCCTCGGCCTCTTGAGTGAGATGGGTGCACAACCCTAGAGTCTGTGAAATATACTCAGAGTCGCAAAGTGATTTCATGCTCTTTATTCAGCTCATAGTGGTGAGGAGGAATGAATGAAAGTCCCCTCAAAGTATCTGCTTTATATACATTATTTACACAATGGGCTGCACATGATTGGCTAATTCCGGAATTCTACTGTAAGCCAATCAGGTTGTGGATTCACTTCTATCTGGAGCATGATTGGGTAGTTCCTGCCAACCAATCATACTGCTGCATTGTTCTAGGACCAATCAGACTGCTGCATTCTGAATCCTATTGTTCTAGGACCAATCAGACTGCTGCCTTTTGGATCCTATTGTTCTAGGACCAATCAGACTGCTGCAGTTTGGATCCTATTTAACTCAGTACATAACACCCCTCCCCTCTAAGTTCCAGTCCTGCCCGGGAGGTCGCATTCATAGTCCTTGAGGTACGCCGGCGGCCTACGTGTGCGTTGCGGCCTGGGGTGTTCCCTGGTCCGAGGTTCAGGTTCTGGCTCGTGTTCCAAGGATGCTGGCTGTGATGGGGCTGTCTGGTCTGGCGCAACCGGCTCGCTCAGTCGTGGTTCTGGTTCCGGTGTCCTTTCGGCCTCGCAGGTCCTCTCTGTATTGACTGATTCTGCCTCTCCTGCTGGCCCCTCGTGCTCTATGGGCCTCACTGCCCCTCTGTTCCCTTGGGACTCCTCTGCCCTTTCCTCCTCCTGGTTTTCTCCCGGGAATCGTCGCCGTATCTGGTCGCAGTGGCGGCGCCAGCATTGCCCCCCATCTGTTAGCACCTCGTACGACACGGGGCCAGTGACCCTGGTGACTGTGGCAGGTACCCATGCTGGGCCTGCCCCAAAATTCTTTGCATACACTGGGTCCTGGGCCTCGAAGGTCCGGGGGTTCCTGCCTTCCCCCACCACTACCTCATCCTGAGCTCTATCGGGGTGAAGGCGGTCCAATCTGATTGCAAGGCGCCGACCCATTAGTAGTTCAGCGGGGCTCCGGCCAGTCGTTGAGCTGGGGGTGCTGTGCTGTGCTAGAAGGAATGTGGCAAGGCGGTACTCCCAATCCCCTTGCGTCATGCGGCGAAGGGTGTCCTTGGTGGTCCGCACCATGCGTTCTGCTTGGCCATTGGTGGCAGGGTGGAATGGCGCCGAACGGATGTGGCGGATGGCGTTCTGTGCTGTGAAGGTTTGGAATTCTCCTGACGTAAATGCAGTCCCGTTGTCTGAGACGAGAGTGTCAGGGAGCCCGTGGGTTGCAAACAGCCTGCGTAGTACCCGGATGGCTGCGGACGTAGAAGTGGACGGTACCAGTGCGACTTCCAGCCATTTGGTGTAGGAGTCCACCACTATGAAGAATGTTTTCCCCTGAAAGGGGCCCGCAAAATCCACATGCAGGCGTGACCATGGTGCTCGGGCGGACTCCCAGGACTGGACTGGGGCCCTTGGGGGATCTGGGCGGGATTCTTGGCAGGCCTGGCAGTGTTTGACCCAGGCCTCTATCTCTCCGTCGATCCCCGGCCACCACACATAACTCCTGGCAAGGGCCTTCATTGTTACTACCCCTGGGTGTGTCTCGTGTAGGGCTGTGAGGACCCTTTTGCGGAGGGGCTGGGGAACAACGACCCTGCTTCCCCATAACAGGCACCCCTTGTGGGCCGACAGTTCATGCTTGCGGGTTGTGTAGCCGGCGAATTCTGGCCCGGGGCTGCTGCTGGGCCATCCCCTCCACACCCAGTCCAGGACCCGGGAGATGACCCTATCTTTCTTGGAATGGTGTGCAACTTCTTGTGCCTGAATGGGGCGGTCGGGAAGCAGCTCCAGGCTCATAACCTCTTGTGCAGGTGCTGGGTCGGGGCCTGTTTCTGGTAGTGGTAGCCTGCTGAGGGCATCCGCATGGCCCATCGCCTTCCCAGGACGGTAAATCAGTGCATACTGGTAGCTGGCAAGGAAAATTGACCACCTGAGGACGCGAGGAGACAGCACTTGGGGGGTCTGCTTTTCAGGGGCAAACAAGCCAAGCAACGGCTTGTGGTCCGTCACCACGGTGAAGGGCCGCCCGTACAAGAAATCATGGAATTTTTTTACTCCCTTCACGATTGCCAGACCCTCCTTGTCGATTTGCGAGTAGTTCCGCTCGGTTGCGTTGAGTGTCTGGGAAAAGTATGCCACTGGTACCTCTCTTCCATCCGGGAGTTGGTGTCCCAGGACAGCGCCGATTCCATAGGGCGAGGCGTCGCATGCTAGCACCACCGGCAGCCTCTCGTCGAAGTGTGCCAAGACCGAGTTTGAGACAAGCAAGTCCTTGACTGCCTGGAATGCGGCCTCCTGGCGCTGGCCCCACACCCAAGGGGCCCGCTTGTCCAGGAGTCTGTGTAGGGGCTCCGCTACCGCCGCCTTGTGGGGAAGGAAGGAATGGTAAAAGTTCAATAGTCCCAAGAAGGCCTGAAGTTCAGTCTTGTTCTTGGGCGCTGGGGCATCACAAATGGCCCGTACCTTGTCCCCAGTCGGGTGGACCCCTTCTGCGTCCACCATAAATCCCAGAAAGTCCACCTGAGGCACTCCTAGTAGACATTTTTCCCGCTTCACCTTGAGACCCGCCGTCTGGAAACGGTGCAGAACGGTGCGGAGGCGGTCCTCAAACTCCTCTGGTGTGGGCCCGGCAATCAACACATCATCGAAGAAGGGGGTGACGCCAGGAATCCCTTTAAGGAGAGAGTCCATTAGATTCTGGAATATGCCTGGTGCCACGCTGACACCGAATTGCAGCCGCTTTACCCTGAATGCTCCTCTGTGCGTCACAATCGTCTGTGCCTCTGCTGTAGCCTCATCTACTGGCAGCTGTTGATATGCTTGGGCCAAGTCCAGCTTGCCAAAAATTTTCGACCCAGCCAGGGTGGCAAGAACATGGCTGACCACTGGCACTGGGTATGCATGGGCCGTGAGGGCCTTGTTTATGGTACATTTGTAGTCTGCGCAGATACGGACCGAACCATTAGGCTTGACGGGTGTGACAATTGGGGTTTCCCAGGGGGCATTAGGCACTGGCTCCAGCACCCCTTGCTCCACAAGCCGGTCCAATTCCTCGTCTATACGGGGTTTCAGGGCGAACGGGACCCGGCGGGCCTTGAGCCTGACCGGTCGTACTGCGGGGTCAAGCTGTAGAGCAATGGGGGGGCCCGTATACTGTCCCAATTTCCCATCGAAAACCCCCGGAAATTCCTTGCATATGGCGTCCACGTCTACTTGTAAGCTAGTGTGGTTCACCCCGGTGACGGCTAGCCCCAGTGGTCCAAACCATGCCAATCCCAGTAAGCTAATGTAGGGGCCCTTGACCACAAGCAAGTCCAGTTGCCGCGTCCGCCCTCGGTATTGCACCCTGAAGGTCCCCACCCCCATTGTGGGGACCTTACGTTTCTGGAAGTCCCGGAGGGTGAATGGGGCCGGCCTGAGTTTGGGACCCCCCGTAGGACACAGTTTTCTTAAGGTCTTTGCCGAGATTATGGATAGAGTTGAACCCGTGTCAAGCTCCATGCGGCATGGGGCCCCCTCTATCTGTACCTCGACATAAATTTTCTCTACGTTGGGGTGGGGCAACTGGTATACCTGGAAGTCCGTGAGCTCCGTCGAGTTGCCTTGGTGTGTTGGGCCCCGGGACCTGGGGCTCTTGGATTGGTCATCTGATGCCTGGCGTCGGGTGGGCCGAGCCCGACACACCCGGGCGATGTGTCCCAATTTTCTGCACTGTCTGCACTCTGCGTTGCGGAAACGGCAGGTCCTCCTCTCGTGACTTTCTCCACAGCTTGCGCAGTTCCCTCCTTCTCGTCGAGGCAGCTGTGGTATGTGGGCTGCTTGAGTGCGCTGCTGTACTCGGTGCACCTCCTCCCTGTCGGATCCTGAGTCGTCGGTGAGGTCTTCGTGGTGGACCCTCGGTTGGGATGACAGGCTCGGCCGTGCCTCTTGCGTCGACCTCTCAGCAGCTTCCGTTGCCAGGGCCTCCTCCAGAGCGACCTGGAACGTTAGGTCCTTCTTAGCGTAGAGGCGTCGTTGCAGCTTCTCATCCTTCAGGCCACCGACGAGGCGGTCACGAAGCATGTTCTCCAGCTCTGAGAAGTTGCAGAACCGGGCGGCTTGGCGGAGAGAGGTCACAAACCCAGTTATGGTTTCCCCAGGGGCTTGCCGCTTTGCGTAGAAGGCATTTCGACGAGCCACCACTGAGGGCTGTGGCGAAAAGTGCCCCTTCAGCTGTTCCATTATTGTTTTGTATGGAACAGTAGCGACGTCTTCAGGCGCAAGGAGAGCCCGGGCGATTTCAAACGTCTCCTCTCCGCAGACGCTGAAGAATATCGCCCTCTTCTTGGCGTCTTCTTCATCGGTGACCCCTTTGGCTTCTAGGAGGAAGGTGAAACGGGAGGCGTACGCTTCCCAGTCTCCAGATGCTGGGTTGAACGGCGAGAAGCTGTTGTCGGTTGCCATTCTGAGTTCCTTGTGTCCCGGAGCTGAAGCCTGGATACACGGTGCGAGGCAGCGGTGCGGCAGGTGGCGGTGCTGCGGTGCTGTGTGTGGCAGTCAGCTCAGCGGGATCCCACCTTCGTCGCCAGTGAAATATACTCAGAGTCGCAAAGTGATTTCATGCTCTTTATTCAGCTCATAGTGGTGAGGAGGAATGAATGAAAGTCCCCTCAAAGTATCTGCTTTATATACATTATTTACACAATGGGCTGCACATGATTGGCTAATTCCGGAATTCTACTGTAAGCCAATCAGGTTGTGGATTCACTTCTATCTGGAGCATGATTGGGTAGTTCCTGCCAACCAATCATACTGCTGCATTGTTCTAGGACCAATCAGACTGCTGCATTCTGAATCCTATTGTTCTAGGACCAATCAGACTGCTGCCTTTTGGATCCTATTGTTCTAGGACCAATCAGACTGCTGCAGTTTGGATCCTATTTAACTCAGTACATAACAGTCTGTCAAGACTGGCCCGTACGGGCAGGGGTACCTTTACCTTTAAGGTGCTACTGGAAGGATTATTATTATTATTATTATTATTTTGTTTCGACTACGGCAGACCACACAGCTACCTACTTGTAACTGTATACTGTGTTATTAAACTCTATTGTTACTATTTTATCATTACAATTATTATTATTATATTATTATTATTACATATATATGTATGTAATTTTTTCATTTATTGTGGGAGCCAGCGCCATATGCTCCATGGTAAATCTGGCAATGGAAACATTCAGTGGTGCCCCTCTTCCCTTGAAGCCCTAAGCCCATGCTTATTTTGCTTAATGGTTAACCCGGCCCTTGGCAAGTGTGTAGGAATATAGGAAGCTACCTCATTGTGCCACTGGTCCTTCTAACTCAGTGTTGTTAACACTGGTCGGAAGCAGGATCCAAGGTTTCAGACCCAGCTCTTTCCCAGCCATACCAAGGATTGAAGAGCATGACAATTAGAGCTTGCAATGGATTTTGCTTGTAAGCAGAACACAAATCAGGCCAGATGGGTGAAAAGAAGGAGGGGGGACTTGTCCTTGCCCTTCCAGTTTCCCATGGGGAAACTCAGTCTTTCCCGCTGAATCGGAGCAAACATCAGTTGGGCTTTCTCCAGACAAACATTTGCTCCAATTTATTGCAAAAGAGCCACTTTTCCAGGGAGAAAGTGGTGGGACCAAGGGCAAAACCACCCAGACCCAAGCCTAGAAGGCGTAGAACAAGCGGAAAACCACTTGGACCCACACTTTCCAAGTGTGGGATGAGCCCTGAAACCTGGTGCTGTTATTTATAAGACAAGTGAAGAATAGAGCTCTTGTTCCTAAATGGGTTTAATATATTAAACTGAAATAGTAGGGGCATTTAGGAAAAAAATATGTTAACCTGGATTTAATCCCTAAACTTTTCAGCCTCTTTATTAAAAAAAAGAAGACGTTTTATTTCACCAGGGTTTGTTAGAGTTGCATTCCCCCAGTTGGAGGTTTAAAATAAATGTGCTAAAAACAGTGTTGATCCACCGGAGGCCAAATGCAGAGGCTTCAAGGGAACATGTTAGTTTATAGTTCAGGAAAAGGATAAGATGGTAAATCTTTCTGCTATAGCAGATGGGAAAATATTATTTTGTTGCTTCTGTACTTCATGGGTGGGCCGGTCCCCTCTTACATCTTTAGGTGGTGTAAGGACTGAATACTGTTTTGTAAACTGTGCCTTTCTGTTGCAGGAAAATCCCTTTCTTTTCACCTCAAGCAACAGCAAAGTGCAGGGTTCAGGGATCGACGCAGAGAACAATGGAGGCAAGGTGCCCTACTGGGCTGCGATTGTGGCGGCAACAGCTGGAATCTTGGCAGGAGCTCTCATTGCCTGGGTGATCACCACTCACAGAGCCAGCAAACGCCCATATTCAGGAAACACAGCGACTGGAGAGAAAGTAACAACATTTTGAATTTGCACCTGCACCAAGGAGATCTAACACAACATCTACCTCCAGTAACATGAGGAAAGCAGTATGGGAGCTTAGCAGCAGCTTTTCACGTACTATTTTTAAACCAAAAAAATTTTTCCATCTAAAAGTGGGAGAAGAAATATCAGCTCAGACATCATGGTAACTGTTTGCAGACCAGAGCTTGGAAGATGAGATACATAGGGAGAGCTTATTAAAGCAAGAACATTCCAAATATATTGGCCTTCCCTGATTTTAAATAGGATATTTGTTATTGTAATGGAAACGCCAAGATAAAGAATGCTTCTATACGGTGATTAAATGGTCCGTGCATTTTGCCTTCCCACTGAAGATTCATCCGCAAATGTCAGGTTTGCTCTCTTAATCCTGGCCTCTTAAATGGCATCTGGGAGCATTTAGTGAATACAATAATCAACAGTGTTACAAATGAAGAGCTATCAATTCTTAGAGTTGAGCCAAATAAAAGCCTTTCAAGAAGCCAACTTTTGCCAGTTTATTTGTATAGGCGGAGATAGAATCTCTTAGGCTTAAATTCTCACAGAAAATATATAGGAGAGCTAGCTTCCAAGAGGAAGATAAAAAGGTTAAGCCAATTAATATGTCTGTTTTCATAGGATGAGAGCATGTGCAGTGTTTCAGCATAGACACGGGATTGCATCAGAACATGCCCAGCTTGAGGCTCTAAGGCTGCATGTGCAGTAATCTGCTTCTATCACACACAAAATGCAGTTTTTCCTCAACCCAGAATTATTCATGATTGTCCACAACATGCTGCTTTTTAATCTAGAATGATTCTAGATCCTGCCATCCATGAAGGCGTATGTGGTTACTTGATACACATTTGAAAACCCTCCCCTTGATTAGGTTTTTGCTCTCTGCACAGGCTCCCCACCCCATGAATGAAGAAAGAAATGGTGATTGCAATCTTGCTATATGCCCACCCACAATATCAATGGCTAGGTGCACACACACACAATTGCTAGGACTACCTACATTTGTTTTCAGGTGAACACACTGTGGCGTAAGGCAGAATCAATCTGCAATGAACTTTTATTTTTGAAATGAAACCAGTTCCTTAAGAAGGGCTTTTCAGGGGCAAAAATAAATAAAAATTTGCAATAGTCCTAGATTGTGTGCGAACTACAGAGAAAAAAACTAAATCTCCATTGATTTTTAAATAAAACGTGGTTTGTACGCAGCCTATATCAGGACCAGGGTCAGCACAAGACACCCTCAAGCAGCCGCTTGGGCCTTAGTAGTCCAGCAGGACCCATTGCTAGTGGAGCCAGCCTTGATTCCCTTTCGCAGGCAGCTACAAACCATGTTTACAATTTCCCACAATGCTCTGCAGCAACAAGGGCTCTGAGGGAATTTATAAATGGTGGCTGCCTGGAGCCAATAGCAGGGGCAGTTACCTAGCATGTTCCAAGTAGCACCATCAGGGGGGTGGGGGAACAGGAGGGAGCCCATGGGGGGGCTGTGTCAAGGCCTGAATCCAACCAATCAGGAGTTGCCACCATGATACCAATAGGTACCAGTCCACCCGCCAGTACCTTCCTATGGTGTTCACAAAAGATGTCAGTAAATAACCCCTCAAAAATCCACAAAGCCCAAAAGACTTTTTGTTCTCACTACTCAGTTCTTGTTTGCACTAGGTCACCTTCTCTTACACACGCTCCATGGCAGCCATTTTGTGACCAGCTCCCAATGCACTTTCTCAAATTCCAAATGTGCAGACTGGCACCAAAAGGACGATGAGCAGATATGCAGCTGCAGGAAGCAGGGTTGAACTCTCCATGCATCTGCTGATGTGCAGGGAGTTCAGTCCTGCTTAGTAAGGGAACTGGCTGGTACTCCCAAACCCTGCAGAAATCAGGGTTGAACTCCCTACAGATCAGATTTCCGAAGCTGGCCATTATGATGTCAGATGACTGGCGGGTGGTCCTGCCCACCTGTCATAGTTGGCTTCCTGGGTTGGGGGAGATGAAGATCTGGCCCAGTAGGGCAAAGAGGTTCCCCACCCCTACAGCTCTCCAAGGCTACAGACAATAACCTTTCCCAACCTTCCTATCTGGTGGTAGGAACTTGGTACATTTTGCATACAAATGTGCTGTACCAAAGAGCCAGCCCTTTTCATTCATAGCATAGATATGTGTGCTACATTAGAAATGCAGTTCTCCAGTGTGATGCCATCCATATCCATCCATGCCTGAGCAATAGCAACAAAAACAGCGCATTGGGATTCCACACACCACTTCCCACACACCACTGGTTCTGCAGTCTCCAACTCTGTCCAACCATCCAGGAAGGCCTGACTCTGACCAGGCCTATAAAATTATGCCTGGTTGACAGCTCTGGCACCAAAGGATGACTATTCAAACCCCACGGTTGCCCTCAAATGGCATGAGTTAAAAACAGTGCCGTTGATATTTTCCTTTGTCTTTTGGTTTAGTGTGAGACAGCAGAACACACAATTCAGCTGATCACAAGGGCCGCTAGTGATGCTCTCCTCAGGGGACAGGCTCAGCTGTCCAGCCAGGCCATACCATATGGCTCTCCTCCAGGAGCCTGTCAGCCTCTAGCAAGATCCAGTTAACATCCAATTTTCCCAACCTCTGTGGCACGAGCTGAATTGTTGCTGCTCTCCCTACTGTGGCCACCGAACTGCTTTCCCCTATTAGTTCAAAGCCGCGTGTGATACCCTCCCTCTGTGAGGCTGGCAGTAATCGTTCTTGCAAAATAATGAAATGAGTCAGCCTGGCAATTAGGCGGTGTAGCTGAGCCACATTCCTTAGGCTGCCTCTTGTTTACATTAAACAATTAACAATGTAATAACACTTTGCCCTTCTGTCCAGCCTTTGTCGAGAGAATCTCAAAAACACTTTGCAAATGTTGTTGACATTTCCCTGACATTTCTCAACACCCTACAGAGTGGATTGGCATTGTCTGTTGCATTCAAACAAAGGCGAAGGGATGCGCTGAGGAATCTATGGCAGTGTAAAACCCTTACTGCCTGCTGTGGAATCACTATGAAATTTACTCTAATACAGAAGCTAATACAGACTCCCTAAGTCACAAACTGTTAGGAGCCAGTAAGCACACTTGGAGTTTTGAGGAAATGCTGTGGGGGCACCACAAAATGGTTGCCAGAACACAAAATGGCTGCTGTGGGAGGGTGGCATAACCAAAAATGGCTGTCACATCTAAAAGAGCAGAAAAAGAGACAGGAACACAACATGGTGCAAGCATGCCCCTCATCAATGGGAAAAAGGTGCCCACATAAGCCACCACTATTTCCACCTTCCCTCTGTCCAGAATGGAACAGAGGGCAGCTGTTTACCCCTGACATTCAATGAGATGTGGGCGTGTTTAAGGGTGTGTGTTTGATTTAGGAGAAGCCAAGCCAGTACAACAGGAACTGAGCAGGAAGAGTAAACAATCTCTCAGGTATTGTGAATCTTTGATGAGATATTTATGGAGACATTCCATGGGTGTCATAGACGGTATTTGTGGGTGCGTTGGTGCCATGTTGGTGATCCCTCCATGTTGGTGATCACTCCACTTAAACTCTTCTCTTCCCTGCCGCTCACTCAGGGGGGACCCCCACAAACCAAATTTCCCCTCTACCAGGTGTTTCCCCCAGGTGAAGGTCACAGGTCTATCTTCCACAGTGCCTGGCCTACAATTCCATATACTGAGTGAGCGGTACCTCTGCCCAAGTGCCAACTCAAAGTGATGGCATCCTTTGGCAATGACCCCAGCGTGGTCAACCCTGCTGCCCACAGAACCTCCTCCTGCTGCTAAGGTTCATGCCACATTGCCAGAAACTTGTCATCTGATCATGGTCTGGTTTGGATCCAGATCCACTGCAATGATCACTAAGGAGGGTGAGGGGATAGCAGCCACCTGTTGACAGTCCCATTTGTATGACAGACAGGCAGACAGACAGACACACACACACACACACACACACACACACCAAGCAGTTCCTTTGCCAGTACTATTTCCCTCGCCAAGCCAGCAAAGCTCTCAAAGCCTTGAGAGACTCTCAATGCAGCAGCCTCACGATGCGGCGGAACGGAGGGGATTTGATCAAATACTTGAGTATTGTGTGTACAGTAAATGCGACGTCAGAGTTGCACAAACATCTGCTTCACTGCAGGCAACTTGCCCTCCAGGAAGCTGCTGCTAGTCATGGCTTCAGTCTTCTCACCAAGTGCAAGAAACGCTGTGAAACCAAGACGTGTTGCTACTTCAGACGTTAAATTGCTAGCATCACTTGTGGAAATCAGGGCTACAATGTTTAATCAATTACTCAGTTCAGTTAATTAATTTTACATCTTCCATCAACTAAAAAGGTGTCATGATTAATAGGAAAGGTTATATATATATAAGTTGTTGTGTGAATGCATTGTGAATGCACTTATAAAAACTGCAGGTTGCTGTTGGCGGTTTTCGTCCCTCACTCCCAGTTTATTTTGGGATTCTGTCTTCCCTCCCTTCCTCTCTCTCTGGAATGCCTCTTCTAAGAAGAAGACGGTGATTTATTAAATTTATATGACATCCCTTCACCAGAAGACCACAGAGAAGTTTGCAACATGCAACACAAAGGTGCAACGTGATACATCTATACAATATTTTAAAAATCAAAACAATCATATAAATTCATATAAGGAATACATAATAAAATGCAAATTCTTATAGCAGCAACAGCATAAAAAGAGAAAATCAGCAACACCGTGTCTAAAATACAAAGACGGCACACCAATTCAAAATATGCCTGCTATGACATGTGTGTGCATTATCTTGCTTCAGAAATACTGTTTTTATCGTTATACACGTTGATGCAAATCAATCACAATATTAAATGATTAAACCTCGCATGATGGATGGATGAATATTTGAATAACTGAGTTGCCATCCTAGCAGAAGTGTACCATGGAACTGACACTTCTAATCTGCCATGAACAGGGAGGCTGGATGGGTGTACCTATAACGCTGGAAAATCTGGATTTCCTTTAGCATCTCAACAGCACCAAAGGACACTTAAGAGCATAATCCTATACATGTCTACTCAAAAGTAAGTTTCACCAAGTTCAGCGGGACTTTCTCAGGGGCAAATGTGTATAGAATTGTAGCCCTAAATGTCCCACATCCAGCCTATCTGTATCTTATTAGGGAGTTCCTAGCACTCTGAGCTCTCCTGAAAAGCTGCTTGCGATGACCTACTTAGAGGTGTCACCGGAAGATAATCCCTCATCCTGCAAGGATGCCAGAAACTTGAACTACTTGCTGCAGTGGGGGAAAAGTCACTTCCTATCATTGCTGACCCAAGGTGTCCTTTGACCTCAGGCTGAGAATTAGTTAGGACTCCTGCCTCTGTGTCCTCTAATATCCCGCCAGCAGTACGCTTCAGTATATATAAGGTAAAGGGACCCCTGACCATTAGGTCTAGTCATGACCAACTCTGGGGTTGC